ATGGCCGACTTCCTGTGATACTTGCACTATGACATTAATTGTAAATTTTGAGCGTCCTGGGGAGCTCTACAAGTGTACCAAATTTCATGTCTCTAGGATAAAGTAAGTGAATAGCAAAGGGTCCTTTGAAAATTTCTAGGTGGCGCTATTGAGCCATTTCTTGTGGGATTTTTGTGATGACCTTAAAAATCAAAATTTTTAACCAGGCTTAAGGCCTCCGCCAAGTTTGGTGAGTTTTCCAATATGATAAGGCCCCCAAAAAGCCCCCCAAAGAGGTGGGAAGAAAAATAATAATAATAATTAAAGCTGCAAGCAGCCTCGAACGGCCCTCGCAGCCAAGCGCCGCTCCGGCCTATTGCCACCGCGGGGTACGAGCAACCGCCGCCTCACGCCAGCCACCACAGAAGCTCTCACTCAGTTTTCAGTGCCTCCGCCCGCACCGCGGAAGCTGTTGCTCAGTTTCCATCAACGCTGCGCACGTGCTAAGACAGAAGTTGTTGCGCAGTTTCCGCGCCCGTCCACCAGGCGGTACGCATCGATGCGTTCGGCAGCTATCCTTCACGATGCAAAAAAATGTGGTATAGATTCATTGGTTTAGCGAGGAAATATAGCTGGCGGATTAATGTAGGGGCGCAGTGGAGTCAAAATACATTTCAATGCTGTTTTGCTCTTTAGAGGTCAACAAAGGTCATACGTATCCAATTTGGCGCCAGTCCGATGATCCACGTGTCATTTAGAGCCGATCATATGCACGTGGCGAAGAACTGCAGTTTGTCATTTGTACACCCCAATGCGGTTCGGTCAGCAGCCAGCATTCATAGAGTTCATCATGTTATCGTTTTTAGTCAGTATTCACATGATGAAACCCATATAAATTATAGAACAACAGTAAAATATACAGCAGAAAAAACATGTGACTGCCTCTTAAAAGTGGGCGGGGCAGTGAGGTCATCAAGTGACCATGGAAATGTGTTCAGGGCTGTTCTCTAGAAAGACAGGAAGTGTCATGCAGCTGTGATCTTGCATTTGGAAGTCATTTAATGTTGATGTTTCATGGTAAATAGTGAAAGTTTTACACTAAGCCACACCCACATGCTTGATGTTAACTACAACTGAGATCTAAATGCAGTGCAACTTTAACGTTATCGTGAAATGAGTCAGGAAAATGGTGAAGGTTAAGATGTATCAGTTTAATAAACCGCACTGTTCAGTAATAAACCAAGGGCAATGCACAATAACAGAGCACAGTTAACTTTCAGCACTTTAGAACAATAGCACAGGCTGAATCCCACCCATTAATTAGGTATTAATCACAGGAAGTGCTGCAACTAAATATTACAACCCCAATGGATGGGTAAAAAGATACTTAGCATTTTCTCAGAGCTCTTTGAAACGACATTTTAAACATCTTCTATACATAATAACAAGTCTGAATGTATGAAACTGGATGTATCACACACACTATTCAGTTTATTGAATTAGTAAAGCGCTTCCTTAGCATTAAAAACGTTGCAGGCCTCGGGCATTGGGTTAGCATCCTCCTCAGAATAACTGTTCCAAACATGACGGCTTCCAGAACCAGCAGGAAGGAATAAATTACTCACCGCACCGCGAGTTACGACTGTTTAAACGAACAGCAATGGGCTCTTTGCACCTGCCGCGCTGACGTCACAACTGTATACCCGAATGCGGCTCTTTTTTCCACTTTCAGAAACTATGACTGCTATAAAGACAAAGTCGTACTTAAGACACAAATAAAACAATACTATGTACTTTGTTTGAGTTTTCATGGATTTCCAAGCGATCCTCAATTAAGACAGCTTGTAAATATTCGTTGCTACAAGTTAAAGCTACCTCTTGAAGCTAACGCCGTACACACCACTCTAAACACCGTCTTAATGAGCCATTCACAACAAGCATGCAAAAGTAATAAAACAAAATAACACAGAAACCTTAAGCAGCACGGCCATATTTTTCTAAAAGTAATAACTCTGAATCTGAACAGTCAGCTGAACTAGAACTCCGATACCAGAGTAAGCTCTGTGCTCGTTTTTCTTCGTCATACTTCAAGCAAAAACTCTGAACTGTAATCTGCCCCCGCCCCCCTCCCCGCTGCTTTATTGTCGTTAACAATAAACACACGTAATATGCTTGAAAATAAGGCACAGTGTCCGTTAGAATGGCTGAGAAATCTTTAGATAATTAAATAGTAGATTTTTACTAGAAAGCTAGCAGGCTTGTGCTAGCAGTTTAAAGAAAATAAAACTCACCTTCATATCTGTGAATGTATAACGAGGCGAACATCTTAAAACCTTTCTTTGCCTTACTTGTTGGGGTTTCGGATCGATGTACATTATTAATTGTTACCTTGGAAAAACATTTCAGCCGTTATTCCCGAACGTGTAAGCTGAGGTGCAAAGAGCCCATTAAACTTCTCCAACTCCGGTCCAACAGAGCCTTCTTGCTCAAAAGCGTGGTTCGGATTTGCAACTCCAAAATCCAAGCAAAATGTTGAGCGTAGTCCAGTTCTGTGGCTCCAAAAAGCAAGCAAAATGTTCAGGAAAACTTCGCAGCTCCAGCTGTCGCCGGCTGACTGTTATTACATAGCGTCGATCTGTTTTCTCATTGATGGAGTACCACTGCCTCCTGCTGGCGCAATACTGGTATTGCACCAGCAGTACCAGTATATTGCCACAAGGTGCCAGTGGTACTCCATCAACACTGACCCCAGTGTGTTCTTACTTCGCTGTGTCATAAGTTTTGCTGAATGACTTTGTTTGTATTATTTCTAGCAAAAATGAATGAATGTTTGTACTTTAACCCACAAAATAAACTTATATATATATATATATAAAAAGTTATAATAATGTATATTTAAATAATTAATAACAACATAACCTATGGGCTGCTGTTTTCTAGGGGGCGCTATAGAGAAATTAGGCCACGCCCTACAAATATTGTGATGGATTCCTGTAAGGGAGTGTATTAGGATCCATCCTGTGAGTTTGCAGCAGCTGGGCCGAAAATGTGGAATTTAGAGCCAAACGTTATGGCGATGGCGTTACAGGTCACTTCGCCACGCCGCCACGCCCACCTGCTCCATCGAAGCTGGTCGGGATTAGAATCCTCAATACACCAACATGTCTTCTGTGTCTGGGCACAGTTTCATGTTGATGAGGTCAAAGGGGTCAGATAGCGACCATTGACAGTAAAACATGACACTTTCTGTTCTCAGGGGGCGTGGCCTAAGTCATGTCATCATTCGACCATAGGGTATTGTAGAAGACCCGATGATGATGAATCACAGAAACTTTGGTGCCTCTGTGAGTTTGTGTGTAGGAGATATAGCAGTTTATTTTTTTACAGCTAGTAGGTGAACTTTGACCCCTTGCAGCCCCACTTCAACATACTCAAAAACTCACCGTTTAGATAACTTTAGATGGGACATGCCTTATGAACAGACTGACCGAGTTTGAAGCCGATCAATCGAAATCCCTAGGAGGAGTTCGATCAAATACGAAGGCTGTAAACGGCAAAAATGGGGTCAAAAACCGAACTTGAATCCAAAATGGCCGACTTCCTGTGGGGTTTAGACCATGGCTCCAAGAGACTTTTTTGTACGTCCTGACAAGGTACACATGTGTACAAAGTTTCGTATTTGTAGGTTAAAGCATGGCTTGGGGCTGATCATTTAAAGTTTTCTAGGGGGCGCTATAGAGAAATTAGGCCACGCCCACCAAATATTGTGATGGATTCTTGTCGGGGAGTCGATGAGGATCCATCTTTGTGAATTTGGAGCAGCTGGGACCGAAAATGTGGAATTTAGAGCCAAACGTATGGCGATGGCGTTAGAGGTCACTTCGCCACGCCGCCACGCCCACCTCCTCTATTGTAGCTGGTCGGGGTTAGAATCCTCAATACACCAACATGTTTTCTGTGTCTGGGCACAGTTTCATGTTGATGAGGTCAAAGGGGTCAGATAGCGACCGTTCACAGTAAAACATTACACTTCCTGTTCTCAGGGGGCGTGGCCTAAGTGAGGTCATCATTCGACCATAGGGTATTGTAGAAGACCCGATGATGATCAATCACAGAAACTTTGGTGCTTCTGTGAGTTTCTGTGTAGGAGATATAGCAGTTTATTTTTTTACGGCGAGTAGGTGAACTTTGACCCCTGCTGACCCCCCTTCAACATACTCAAAAACTCACCGTTTAGATAACTTTAGATGGGACATGCCTTATGAACAGACTGACCGAGTTTGAAGTCGATCAATCAAAATCCCTAGGAGGAGATAGATCAAATACAAAGGCTGTAAACGGCAAAAATTGGCAAAAATGGGGTCAAAATGGGAACTTCAATCAAAAATGGCTGACTTCCTGTGATACTTGCACTATGACATTAATTGTAAATTTTGAGCGTTGGGGAGCTCTACAAGTGTACCAAATTTCATGTCTCTACGATAAAGTAAGTGAATAGCAGAGGGTAAAAAAGGGTGTTTTCCAATTTCTAGGTGGCGCCGTAGAGACATTTCTGTTGCAATTTTGCGACGACTTTAAAATACGTAAATTTTAAACAGGCTTAAGGCCTCTGCCAAGTTGGTGAGTTTTTGAATATGATAAAGCCCCCAAAAAGCCAATTCATTTGGGTGGAAGAATAATAATAATAAACAATATGAAAACAATAGGCCTTCGCAGCGCTTAGCTGCTCGGGCCTAATAATAATAATAATAATAAAAACAGTACAGATACAATAGGCCTTCGCAGCGCTTAGCTGCTCGGGCCTAATTAAATTATCTGCCCGGGTTACTAGATTTTATGTCTTTGCAGTGAACATAGATTTTAAATATAAATCAAGTCTTTAAAGTCTAATTTTACTCCACCTCAGACACGTTTTATCACCTCATCACTCACTCACATCATCCTCACTCTCTCCATCTCCTTCTTCTCATCTCCATTCCCATCTTGACCCTGTGACCTCTGGGCTCCCCCTCCCCTCTCAGGCCAGTAATGGCCCCAGCAGCGGCTACGCCTGCTCCCTCCCCTCCACCCCCGTGGTGGGTCACAGAGACCTGAGGGCGGCTCAGGTGGAGGGGGGCGGCAGCTCGCGTCTGAAGTCCATCCCCAGGCGACCTTCCCTGTTTAAGGTCAGTCCCCCTCCAACCGTTCCCTCTCCTGTCATGTCACTCTCATTTCCATCCAGCTCCCCCGTCGTTCATCTCTGTTGGGATTAAAAATTGCTTTCTACGGGGTTTGTTTCAGAACCGGGACCCGGACAAGAAAGCAGGCGATTCGAAGGGGGATCAGAGCGGTGTGCGAGGCGTCCCGCTCAAACAGGTTTGTGTTGTTCTTGCTAGCGCTGAAACGATTAATCGTATTAATTGTGATTAACCGATTGTTTTTTCTAAATGATCGATTCTCATAGAAAGGTTTTCCAGGAAAGTCCCTGTTGTGTCACAGCATTGGGTCAGATAGGGCTGAAATGATTAAACGTGATTAATCGATTTTCTTTTTTTTTAAATGAGCGATTCATAGAAGGAGTTTCCAGAAGGATCCCTCCTGTCTCACAGCTTTGTATCAAATAAGTTATTTATGATTAACTGACTATTAAAATAATTGTGAGCTAATCTAGTAATCGATTAATAATTGGATTTGCTGAAAGAACACCATAAAGTAGTAATTGAGCCAAGACTACACACAGTCTGCATGCATTTTGCATTTAAGATAATGAAAACTTTTTTGGTTGTGAATATTTTCTACCTAAAGCCCCTGAAATGGCAGGTTTAGCTTGACCTAGTTCAAATTATTTAAATAAATCTCGTATTAAACACCTTTTGCTATCCTATTATTAATTGGTTAATCCAAAAAATGCACTGCATTAATACCAAGTCTTTTCACACGTTGATGTTAGGAGTATTTTTTAGATGCAGATGTTTCCTTTGCAAAGCTTCTATTACATTTCAGGCAATACAATGTCTATTTTCTTATCTTCAAAAGGAAGATAAGAAATACTGTACATGAAAAACTTAAATGAAAAATCTGCAGTGAGGCAGTTTTTTTATCCAATTAATTTAGAATTGTTCATCAATTGATTTTTCTGATGGTTATTTGTTAGAATTATTGATTAATCGATGACTAGCTGTGACTGTATTCTTTACAAACAGAAATACAGAACTCAGAGGAACTAAACAATTTATTCCAGTTCCCTTTTCAGACAGGAGAAGGGAAGCAAAATGAATGTATCTGCTTTTCGCAGCAGCTTTCAGTTTCATCTTTTCTAACCTTTCCCCAGCGTGTTTCTATTAATACAGGAGCTCTGAGTTGCTTTGAAGGCACTAGTTAAATTTAGCCAGACTGTGTGTCATGCTAAATCTGCAATTGTCTGTTTTCATCAGGGCATCCTGTTCAAGAGGAGTGGCAACTCTCTGAACAAGGAGTGGAAGAAGAAATACGTCACCCTTTCCAACAATGGCACGCTGTCTTATCACTCCAGCTCCAGTGTAAGAAAAACAGCGTCCAGCCCTGATCGATACAGCCGTAAAGCACCAGCAGCGCCTCTGGAGAGCGCTTATCTGCAGATTTACAGTCGCAACGACACCTTAGACGACACATTCTCGTTTTGTGCAGCTCTAATTTGAACTCTTATTGATTTCATAGAAAGGATTCTATAAAAAAGGCTTCAAATTGTTTGTTGAATCGTTTCTATTTTATATATAAAATATTATATGTAGAAATCTGAGCAGATTTGACATCTAGAATCCCTGTTGGTTATGTTTAAATTGTAAATATAATTTTGAGGCTGTTGAGGCAGAACTGGAAGGGGAAAAATTAAGAGTTTGAAAAAATATCTGTTTCTAGACTTTATTATTTTTCTGAGATCTTGTAAACATGTAGCTGGGTCGTTACAAAAACAAATGTTTGGCATGTTGCTTAAAATAAATAATATTGTACACACATGGGAAAGGGCAGTGCAATACGGCTTGAAAGAAAAAAAATACTTTATTTGTTTAATTTTAACATTTGACTCGACAACTTTTTTCCTCCTCTAGAGTTTTATCATTTCACAGAACCGTAACATGTCACTAAACATGTCATCATCACAGGATTACACGCAGAACACCCATGGCAAGGAGATCGACCTGCTACGTGTGACGGTTAAAGTTCCTGGGAAACGCCCGCCGAGAGCCGTCGCGCCTGCCGGACCCTCAGCTGCTCCCCCGGCGTCTTTACCTGGAGTCAACGGGATCAGCAAGGAGCCGGCCGCAGCTGACGGCACCAGCACAGGTACGCTGAATCAGTTCGCCAATTCAGCTGGGCATTGAACAGATGCTTGTTATACTTTTAATTCATATTTATTGATATTAAGGCAGAATTTTGTAACTGAATAATTTGTTTAGTATTAAGTATTTCGTAACTCAACTCTCCATGTTTTCTCTTTTCTTAAATATTTTTTTCGAACGAAAGAAATAAACTATATTTTAGAAAAAGAAGCATAGTCTGGCAAACTTTTTTTCTATGGGAAAAAAACTAACAAACCAACAATAAGATTTTTTTCATAAGAGAAAAAAAAGGCAGATTCATTCATTCTCTAAAGTCATATTTTTGCCAAGTTTTTTCATTCATTTACAAATGTCACAGTTCAAAGCTAATTATTCAGTTAGCAGGCTAAATAGTTAGTTTACTAACCATATATTTTAGTTTTAGCAAAATATTCACCTTGCTAATTAAATATTTAGCTTGCTAATTAAATATTTAGCTTGCTAACTGAATATTTTGTTTGAAACTGACATTCATAAATGAATGAAAAACAATAGTAAGTACAATATATTGCCTCTATTGATGTTTCTGATGAGGCAAAATGAAACTCAGACCCTACAGAGGGCTGCTGTTTATGAAAAAGAACAATTTAAGACAAACTACTATTTCCACTGACAGATTATTTCACTTATAATATGACATTTTTTCCACATTATAAGTGAAATCATCTGCAAGTGGAACCAGTACTTTTTTTAAATCAATATCAAGAACATATTGACTGAAAACAAGCTAAAAAGTTGCTTTAAAGTTGTTTTGTTCTAAGATGTTTACACTGGAAACTAGACTAAAATACTTGGTATCATTTGATGTTTTTGCAGTGTATTCTCAGGTGAAATGTGTTATTCTTACTACATGATAAACAGAAAACCTTCACGTTCTCTCAGTTCCTCAGTTGTGTCCGCCCACTCTGTCTGTCGCCGACGAGCGGCCCGGCGCTTTGTCGCCACAAGGAGGCGAGAGAGGACTGCAGCGCTGCCCTTCATCGCTGTCCGCTAAAGCACAAAGTGTTGGCAAGTGTAACGCACAAGATTCAACCTCAAATGTCTGCCACCGCCGCAGCAGCTGATTATTCTCTTTTCTCCTTTTTAATGTCAGACGGCCTTGAAGGGTCGGCCGGAAAAGATCCGGGCCAAGCGTCTCCCATGAGTGACAGGAAGAAGAACAGGAGGAAGAAAAGCATGAATCAGAAAGGGGATGCAGCTGTTGGCCAAGCTGATGGTAAAGTCGCTTTTTCTGCGAAATGATCTGAACATTTTGGAAATCTTCCGCTATACTGCACTCTAAAGATTATTTTGTTTCACTACAAACAACTTATTCCTAACTGCCTGTCGTTCCAGTCTAAAAATGGATTATAAAATATCTGTTGAGATTTCTTGACAGCTTATTTCCCGTCTCTCTGTTTCTCTGTTTTTCCTTTCCCCTGTGCGTTTCTCTCGCTTTGCAGCCAAACGCAAAATGTGGAAATTAAAGAGCTTTGGTAGCTTGAGAAACATTAATAAGACAGGTAACACATGAGGGTGCAGTCTTTCCATCCCAACCATCCCAAGCATGTGTTCATCCAAATAACCCCGACATCTTTTGTTCTTCACCTCTCAGACTTTAAGCCATTTTGTGTTTGTTTTTGATAAATCTCCACAGATTATCCCACTATGACCATGTCCAGTGTGTGCAGATGTGACCAACAGTTGTATTGTTCTCGTGTACTTGCAGAGGAAGAGAATGCCGACTTTATTATAGTTTCCTCTACCGGCCAAATGTGGCACTTTGAGGCGCAGAGCCTGGAGGAGAGGGATTCCTGGGTGTCAGCAATAGAGAGCCAGATCCTGGCGAGCCTGCAGTCCTGTGAGAGCGGCAGAAATAAGGTAACAAAAAATAAACATTTTTTAAATAAATAATTCCCCAAAACACTGGAACATGTGCACTTTCTATAGAACAGAAAATCAGAGGTGTGACTCCTAAGATAGACTATAAATTGTACCAGAAGTTATTGTGAGACACGATAATATTGTTGTTTTGAGACCATTTTCACTGCAAAAGCACAAAACCTTACCAGGTAATTTTGGTCTGTTTTATTGTGAAAATATCTTAGTACCTAGCAACTCAGGCCCCGCCCTGTAGCCTAGCAATCAGCTGGAGTAGCCAGCCTTATTTGTATTTATTTAAAGTGACAGAGTCCCTAAACCAGCTCATTCTGAAAAAAGCTCAGTGAGGTTTTTTTGTTTTTCCCATTACAGAAAATGAATGCATCAGGCATCTTTTTGTAAATAGATATATTTTTTTCTTTGTTTAATTACCTAAAAACAGAAATAAAGTGGTGGTTCTATAAAAACAACCCACAAATTTCCTAGAATAAATATTTATCAGACGTCTTAACGTTGATTTTGTGGCTGTAATTGAGTTTAATTTAGCTGAACTGGGGCAAAAAATGTCTCTTTGGTTTGGAAATTTTCCCTGATATAAACAGAAGCTCCTCACCAGAGTTCGGGTGTTTTCATTTATTTATTTTGGATATTTAAGATATCTTCCAGTTGTATTGTTAAATGTTCATTAGAATTGAAAGTTTATTGTTTTGAGACTATTTCCAAGAAATGTGCTGATAATAATGCAAGCACATTCTCTCAAACAACAATATTGTCTTTTATAAAATTTATTAAATTTCTGGGGTAATTCATCATCCAGCAAAGTCTTGCTGGACTTGATGGAGCCTAAAGCTTTTGTCTTCATCTTGGACCCTGGTGGATGTCCAGTTGTCTTCCTGTGTGGCTGAACTTGTAGCTCTGCATCTGTAATTTAAATAAGTTTGCTCCAGATTAATAAATTTTTGCAGCAAAACAAGATCAGCTTCCCTGAGGTCAAATGTCGCCCAGTTTTGTGTATTGTTAGACTGAAAGGGTTGATGCTTTCTGTGGCCAGGCCCGGAGGAGCAGTCAGAGCGAGGCCGTGGCGCTGCAGGCCATCCGAAACACCAAAGGAAACAACCTGTGTGTGGACTGCGAAGCATCGAGTGAGTTCACGTTCTACACTGCAAAAACACTAAATATTACCAAGTATTTACAGAAAAAAGATCTTAGTGCATTTCAGAAAATACAAAACTAACGTACAAGTAACTTTTCAGCTAGTTATAGGACAGAGGTGTCCAAAGTGTGGCCCGCAGGCCATTTCCGGCCCTCTGGAGGATTTTTATGGCCCAAATGGAGCAAATCTGGCCTGCAACCATAGGTGGTTGGTGCAGATGGACACTTAGTAAAATGATTACAGGGTCATTTTACTAAGATCAAAATTGTTTAGTTTGTTGTTTTCATCTTCATTCCAGATGAAAGCAGGGCGTCTTCAGTCAGAGACATCTTCAGATTAGCTACAATACAGACTGCTACAGGAGATCTTTCCTGTTGACATCATCACTCTCTGTTTGAAGAATCTGAATTAATATTAATAACAACATTTAATTTCCCTTTGAGAAGTTCTACTTCCACTAATAGATTTGTTTTTACTTAAAACAAGACATTTTCTACATGTTTTAAGTGGAGTTAGCTTTTTATTTTTTATCAATATGAACAATTTAACCTAAAATAAGCTCCTCTAACATGATGAAAAGTTACTTGTCTGTAAAGTCGACCAAACGTACTTGCAGTGTTATGATTTTGCTTCAGTGCTGCAACCGGACTCAGCTCTCTTGTCCCTGCAGATCCCACCTGGGCCAGTCTGAACCTGGGCGCCCTCATCTGCATCGAGTGTTCTGGGATCCACCGGAACCTGGGGACCCACCTGTCTCGCGTTCGCTCGTTGGACCTGGACGACTGGCCGGGGGAACTCACGCAGGTTCTGGCTGCCATCGGAAACCACATGGCGAACAGCGTGTGGGAGAGCTGCCCCCAGGGCCGGACCAAACCCACGCCGAACGCAACACGGTGGGTTGAACCAAACCAACAACTAACCAACATGGTTTAGCTTCAGTTTAATAAATAAACCTTTTAAATGAACATGGAGGTTTCTCTACGTCGTTCGATGTTTTCATGTGCGCTCTTGTGATGTTTCCGTGTCACCAGAGAGGAACGAGAGTCCTGGATCCGGGCAAAGTATGAGCAACGCGCCTTCGTTGCTCCTCTGCGGCCGGCCTGTGAGGACAGCGTGCCGGCGTCGCTCCTGTCCGCGGTGACCGACCGGGATCTGCCCCGGCTGCTGCTGCTTCTGGCCCACTGCACCAAGGAGCAAATCAACGCACAGCTGGCCGCCGCGCCGTCGCGTACGGCTCTGCACGCCGCCTGCCAGCTGGGAGACGTGGTCATGACCCAGCTGCTCGTCTGGGTGGGTGTATTTCTGTTTTTACGTCCCGCGCTAGTCTGAAAGAATCCTTAGATGTCTGGTAACGTTTATTTTTAGAAGAACAAAAGAAGCTGCATATTTTCAAGGATTAAAACAACAGAAATGAACTAGAACGCTGCTGTTTTTTATGAGTAATCAAGTTTTGCAGAGAAGAAAAATAAAATGGAGAACTTCTTTTGTGGCACTTTTTGCTCTCTTAACAAAAGCTCCAGAAAATAAAGAGAAAAAAAGATTTTAATCCAATGGATTTTGCTTAATTTCTTATTCTATAGTAACTATTAAATCCTTAAAGGAACAATATTATCCAAAGTCGACTGTTTTTGGGCTTCATATCAGGTTATAATCTTATTCCCTCATTAAAACATGCAGAGTGTTGCCTTGATTCTTTCATGCATGTTTGAGAAAGCCTTTTATCTCCATGGCAACCATGGAATATGGGCGGAGTTTCAGAAAGAGCAGGAGTTTCTTAAAGAGACGGAGGCCCAATTTCAAGCTGTTAAATTACATAGTTACATTTCATATCTACATTTTTGCAATAACTGAAATGTTATAAAATGACTGTTTATGCCTGCAAAACACATAACACTGCCCCTTTAAGGAATTTTAAGTGTTTCCTCTTATATTTATTCTCTCACAGTATGGAATCGACGTGAAAGCGAAGGACAGCCAAGGTCAGACGCCCATGATGATCGCCAGAAAAACCGGGAGCAAAGGCTGCATGGATATTTTGCTCCAACACGGATGCTCCAACGAAGCGTCCCCCGCCGCCGCCACGCCGGTCCTCTCCCGTCGCTCCAGCACTGCCAGCCTGGGCCGGACCAGCTCCAGGAAGTGGGTGTCGTAGCCCGGACGTACCGGACGGACGCCCAGAAGTTCATGACGGGATGAAACAATGTAATGAGTAAAAAGACAGAAGAAAAAACAGTTACTGAAGACTGAACAACATATCAAACAACGTGAAAGCAATATTCATCTGGGGAGTCAATCACTGACGTATTGCTGAAATGCCGTCCTGTAGAGCCGTAGCCGTCTTCTGTCATTCTTAGCACAGCCAGCCAGTCTGTCCGCTTCAGTCCCACTTCCTCCTGATGAAGTGCAATAATCCAGCTGTGATGATGAAGAGCAACGGCTTTAAGTGTGAACTGCATCAGCCGACAGCGTGCTCATCATCCGAGGATTTTTCTTGTGACTGGACCAAATTTTTGTTTTTCTTTGGCTTTAAAAATGAAACCTGAAAACAAATCGGCGGAGAAAATACAGCTAGAAAACAAAATCTTTGTTCCAAGCAGAGAGCAAAATATATACAACACCTGCAAAGTTCAGCGAAAACGCACCCAAAGGGACTCAGCTTTGTAAAAAAAAAAAAAAAAAAAGTTTGTTGAAAATATGTTGGGTTTGTTTTTCATTGTCTTTTATAATTTCTTATTGCCGTACATTCCACGAAGCGCAGTGAGCAGATGTGAACATGCAGTATGTAACCATGTGTTGAAACATTTTATTCTGGATCGCAGAGACGACTACATGAAGATGCTACTCACATTTATATTACTGTTGTGTATTGATCTCATGGTTTTAAAAAGTCAAGTATGAAGAAGTTTGGGACACTTTGTGAATCATGTGAATTCCTCATGACTTAAATGAAAATAAAAACATTTTTTATTAGCAATAACGGGATTGTTTTGTTTGTCTTTCCTTTCACAGTTTGTAGTTTTGCCTTTCTGAAATGAATTTCCTTGTATGTTGGTCGTTTTTGTTTTTTATGGAGGCGGTTAGTGGTTTTATGGAGTTTATTGACAAAGATGTTATTCTTGACGCATTACTCTGGAAATCAAGTATGGAGCACGATTGTTGAGGCTCACTTTCTTTTCTAAAAAATAAATGACATATTCCTGAAAATATCTATAAACTGACTTTTCTCATTCCTTCTGTGAGCGTTAGAGCCAGGCCACAGACATTTTTTAATTGTTTAATTATGACAACATAATTATAATAATAGCAGAATAAAGACGCTATTTTATCACTTATGCTGGCCTTGATATTCCATTGCAGAGCTTCTCTGAATTCAAAGTCAAGATAAATAGATGCTTTATGGTGAGCTGTTTCTAATGGGGGAGTCTTAATGATAATAATAGTAATGACAGTAACAATGATGATGAAGCGTCAAACAAGATGGCTGCTTTGGATGCTGAGAACTTGAAGGAATGCATCAGTAAAAAACAAAACAAAACATTTTACAAAATTAAATCTTCAAAAGTAAAACAAAAACTTGACTAATTGATAAAATAAATTTATCACTCAGTCGTAGTCGAGGTCAGAAACTAAACCGGAGGGAGAGATGGCTGTTAGCAGATTATAATAATCAGAATGAGAGGACCATGTCTTGCCTTATAAAGGCTAAAACTAGAAAGGTTTTATCCCCTACATCCACTTGGATTTTACACACAGAATAGTGCAAAATCAAACTGTCTATAACTTGTGCTTCTATTTAGAAATGTATGCTTGATACATATCAGACTCTGTAGTTTGTTGCTGTTGTTCCCCCTGCTTAGTGAGGGACTTCCTTTTCCTGAGACACATCAACATTTTGTAAACAGTATGCACCTTTTTAAATATTCTGTTCATTTTTAACACATATTCACATGATGATGTCTGAGCTCATTTTGTATTCATTTGTGAAAAAATGATTTAATTGCACTTTACCTTATTTTAATTATAATCAAATATATATTATACATATATAACAAATATGTATTATAGTTGAGGAAAGAGTTGGGACATCCTATCCTGGTGTTATAGGGTGTCCTATAGCACCCTATAACAACAACTGCAAGTGTGTTGCGCTGCTTTGTTGTCTGCAGCGCGACCTCCAGACGGAAGAGGGCGACATCTCCGGTTCAATCTCAGCGTCATATGTCATAAATGTGCGACGGCTCGTCAAAACTGCGCTATAATTAACGTGGAGAGACGCCTGAGTCTGAAAACAAAGGAAAACAGGAGCTTTTTGTCTGCTTGGACGCCTTTTGTAATGGGTGAGTCTTCATGATAATAATAACAATAACGACAGTAACAATGATAATGATGTTTTATTGATGTAAATCGAGCGTTAGCGGCGGGTTTGAGGTGTTTGTGAGCGGAGATGTCTGGATGTCTCTGAGCTCCGTTAGTTTTATTCAAAGCAGCAGATCGAGTTCTGTAAAAGTTGATTTAAATCAGTGTATCTTTAAAAGTGAAGCTCACATATTCTATAGATTTAATTTAAGTATTAATTACTGGTTATTTTGTGTAGGTAAAGCTTGTTGCTGTAGCTGTTTTTGGTCCACTGTGTGTAATTTTAGAGCAGTTTCTCTTGTGAAAAGCTTTATGAAGGTTCTGGTTTCATTTGCGAGCAGTACTTGGGTCAGGAACCGATACTGGGCTGATTTATCATCGTGTCGCGGTCCTTGATGTCCAACTGGACGGACCTGAACCTCACTGAGACTCTGTGAGGTTTGATTATGTCAAGAGAAAGTCGCGCTGAAGAGCTACTTACTAATGAAGAAATCCGCTTCTCATCCAGACTGTTTAATTCATGCAAAAGGAGCCTTGACTAAGTGTAGCAGAGAGAAAAATGTGTTTGTGTATATATGATAAAATGATTGAATTTTGCACGAAATAATAACAATAGTAAAATTTATTTGTGGTGAGATTTTTTATCCTTAATTATCTTTGCATATTTGCTTTTATTGATCTTAAATGTAAAACCTTTTTATTTTTTTTACAGTTTTGGTTTAATGACTGCATTGAGTGTGTTCTTTCAGTATTTGGTAATTTCTTATCTTATATTCTACAGTTAACGATTAATCATTTACTAAATTAGCTGATGATTCTGTTTATAATTGATTAATTAACCCTGCATAATAAATCAGCTTCAGAGAAGAATTGCTGCAGTGATGAGCTAACCTGTGCGTTTTTCTCTCCAGGAGGTCAGTAGGAGGTCAGCGGCGGCAGCAGGGATGCGGATCCAGCTGAAGGCTCCCGGCCACGCCGCCACCCTACTGGCAGAGCTCAACCGCTGCCGGCTGACACGTCAGTATTGCGACGTGTTCCTGCAGGTTGGCAGCCGGACGTTTGCGGCGCACCGCGCGGTGCTGGCCTGCGCCGGCACGTACTTTCACAACCTGTTCAGCCGGGCGCCGACCACGATGTCGCCAGCATTTTCACTGGAGTTTGTCTCGCCGGCCAACTTCGAGAAGATCTTGACGTTCATCTATGCCGGGGAGATCCTGATCGACCTTATCGACGTCGGCGTGCTGTACGAGCTGGCGGAGAGGCTCGGTGTCGGAGAGCTGGTGCGGGCGTGCCACACCACCTTTCCGGACTTGCAGGTTTCTGCTAAAGTGGGTCGAGATGGAGATCTGCCGTTGGACTCGGGGTTGGTCAGCGGCGGTGTGACCTCTGATCCATCGTTGTGCTCCTCCGCAGCGTCCTGCTCTTCCCTCTCCTCATCGGTCGGTCAGTCTGCGGCGCCGACACCCGCGGCAGCTCCTTCACCTCTTTTCCAGAGGTAGGCAAAGAACACAAAAAATTGTATTTCAGTAAAAGTAAAAAATATCCAACCAAAAAATTACTTGAGTAAAAAAATTTGGTAAAAGGTCTACAGAAGTATTGAGTAACTGATCTAATGATCATTAATGTAATATTTAAAAATTACATCATCAGACAGAGCAAAATGTAAAGTTAAGTAGAAATTCTGGTATTTTAACAATAAAAATGACAATAATTCATGTGAGCAACAAAAAAATAAAATCAGGCAAAATAGTTTTTTTCTCAATAAGTTTCTTTCAAAAATAAAAGTGATGAAACTTTAACAGACTGCAGGTTGTTTCTGTGTCTGGTGAATTTTCTGGTTAAAACATGTTTGGTTTTCGTTCAGTGGGAAGAAAATCCAGAAATCTTACTCATGTAAGAGTAGAGATACTTCATAATGAAATTACTTGAGTACATGTAAAAAGTACAGTGTAATAAAAATACTCATAAAAATAACTTTATTCCAAAAAAACGTTACTCGAGTAAATGTAACTAGTTACTGCCTCTCTGCTCTTTTCCAACCAAGAACCGACAGGTTAGAAACCCAGGAAGCAGATCTGACTCTGGACCTGAAGGCCGAAGACTTCCAGTCCCACATCGGTTACGGACAGATGCCGAGCCGCCCGGCGCTGCAGCTGAAAACCGAGCAGAGCTGCGATGACTGTGTGACGCGTTGCAACCCTGCGCCCTCTGACCTCTGCTCCCTCCCGGACTCCTCCGCTCAGCTCGGACCCGAAGCTCCGACCTCCTCCTCGGGGGAGCCTCCGGCCGGCCTGCAGGGGGCGCCGGTGATGAGCAAACAGGGAGACTGTGTGCTGATGTTTGAGGAGGTTGAAACGAGGGAGAGTAAAGGTGAGATGGAGGAAGAGGAGTGGCGACAGCTGGCTGGAGAAATAATTGAGCTGAGCGACGATGAGACCTACATGGAGGAGGAAGATGAGGAAGATGATCTGGTGTATGTGGAGAACGGCGCAAGAGACGAAGGGAGCAGAAGCGGCCTGGTGGACACGGTTTGTTGCTTAGCAGCAGATTAGCATCACACTTATAATTAATCGGATTAAAGAAAAGATTAAAAAAACAAGGAAGTTTTGAGATTAATCTGACATTTTCTAGAAATTTTTTGGAGATTTCCAAGTTTGAAAAGATAAAAATGTACTAGAAAAATGTCTGGTATTAATTTCAAAAGTTCAGAAGTTTTGGAAAGTTTGAATTTGACTTTTGGACATTTTGTTAAGTTATAAAGTCGAAAAATGTCATTGTTTGAAAGTCACAAAAAAAGAATTCTATAAAATTTCAGAAATTAATCTACAAATTTCCAGGGTCTTTTTGGCATAAATGTACTTTTTTCTTTTTTTTTCTCTCTACATTGACCTTTGTGTTTTTCTCCTGCAGGTGAGCAGAAACCAGCTGTCGTGTAAAGCCTGCTCTGCGCCGCTCCCTGCAGACCCGGTCGCGGTGAAGCGGCACGCCGAGGCTCACCTGACGGAGCTGGGCCTCTGCCGGCTTTGCGGCGCCTCGTTCCCGGACCGGGCCGCCGCCGTGGCCCACTCCCTCTCCCACGTCAGCGTTCAGCTCTTCTCCTGCGAAATGTGTCGGCAGGAGTTCTGCAGGCAGAGCAAACTGCTGCACCACCACCACCAGACGGCCGCCACCTACAGCATCCCGCAGGGGGCGCTGATGAGCGGTGGACAGGGCTCGGAGCTGAAGTGTGCGGTGTGCACCAAAACCCTCAGCAAGGACTTCCAGGTAGATGTTAAAGATAGAGATGTGAATATATTAAAATTTAATGGGTTTTGTTGGAGTTTTTTGTGATAAAATAAAATAAAGTGGTAAATAATTGAGAAATATGTTCATAGGCGTTTACCTTGTTTTTTTCCCTCAACATCTGGAGACAAGCAGACTATTTATAAAAAGGATTTTTTCCCCATAAGAATAAATATAAAGACACAATCAGAATAAGATTTTTAAAATTGAATTTATCAAAAAAAAATTATTTATTAAAATTTTTAATTAAACAAAAATTTAGATACATTTTTTTACATGATTTGCAAAATTCTCATTTGCATGTTTTGTACTTTCATTTGGATTTGCCTGAACAGCCAGATGTTTTTTGGAGTCTGGAAATTAATTTAATTCAAAAATAAACAGAGTTTCCCCCGTTACTTAGCAACAGGAGCACGTTTGGTCAGCTGCTTTAACCACTGCATCTGATGTACAATGGCTGCTGGAAAAGACTAGTGTTTTGTTGACTTACCATCCTGAAACCAGTTGCTGCATCATTGTTGGTTGTGCAGGAGGCTCCACTTCTGCTCTTCAATTTGCAGTCATTTTAAACATTGAGTTGGGGGCGTGGCCAGAAGAATTTGGATTTAAAGTGACAAGACGTCATTCTGACTAAAATCTCTTTCTCTAAGAATGATTTGTGCAGGAAAAATGTAATAAACATGCTTTATGTTGCTCATAGACCTATCTTAACCTGATCAAGGAACCATAATGGGTCACCTTTAAAGCTTTCTGGGTATTTTTGTGTTTCTGTTTCTCCTCAGACGCTCAGAGACCACCTGCTGAGCCATGTGTGTCTGCAGACCCTGACCTGTGGGATCTGCCACCTGCCTCAGCTCTCCCTCTGCTCCCTGCTGTGGCACACACTCGCCCACCTCTCTCTGCCTGTCTTCACCTGCCCTCACTGCGCCTGCTGCTTCGTAGAGCGCCCCCTGCTGGACAGACACATGGCAGCTCATGCCGACGAGGCGGCTGCTAGGGAGAAGAAGCGCCTGGCGCACAAAGCGGAGGAGATGCATTGCTTCTTGTGTCGACAGACGTTCGTTTCCTCCTCTGCCTTCCAGCTCCACCTTGCAATGCACACCTCAGAGACCCTGAACGATGGCGCCGGCGGCAGTGGCTGCCTTGGCAAGCGGAAAGCCGACCATTCCCTGGACTGTCCTCCATCTTCCTCTTCCTCATCTCCCCGTGACGTCGGCGGCCTCTCGAAGATCAACCTGGGTTTGGGGACGGCAATCGGCTTCAGCGTGCCGGAGAAGCTCGGCTTCCCGTCTGCGGCGGGGCAGGACAGTACCGCCGTGGACGGGGCTGTCCGTGGGAAGTGGTACCGCTGTCGCTACTGCGGCAAACGCTTCGCCCACTCGGGGGAGTTCACCTACCACCTGCGGATCCACACCGGAGAGAAGCCGTACCAGTGCAAGGTGTGCCTGCGGTTCTTCAGGGGCCGATCCACCATAATCTGCCACCTGAAGACGCACGCCGGAGCCTTGATGTACCGCTGCACCGTCTGCGGACTCTACTTCTCCACCCTCAAGCTGGTGTCGTCGCACATGGAGCTACACAAAGGCCATCTGCCGGCCGACTTCAACATCGAGCAAACCTTCATGTACAACGACCACTCCAAGGAGCCGCTGCTGCCCGCCGCCGACGCCTGACACACCGAACAGAAGATTTAAGATTAATCTCAGAACTCATCAGCAAAACATGGAGATTTCTGAGCTTAAAAAGTCAAAAAGGTGATAGAAAAATCAGAAATGTTGATATTAATGTTAAGCAAACCTTTTTAGTTTGAAAGTCAAAAGTGTTTCTGAAATCAAGCTTGAAATGTTATTTTTCAGTGGAAGTTATTACTATTTTATTACTATTTTTTATTTATCATGGCCCGTCAGTTTATGTTCTTTATGCTTTCACCATTATTCAATCAGTTTTTCCAGTCAATAGATTCATTCGTTTGTCTCTTTAATCATTTGTTTGCTCAACAAAAACAAATCCAAACAAAAAATGTTGCAGCAAAAGAAAAAATGCCACAAATGGCAAAACAAAAACAACTGAAACTACAAAATGCCACAAAGCAGAAATGCTCCAGACCAGTAGGGGGCACCAACCACCAAATCAGACTGTAAGTAAAGATTTTATGATTTAAATTGGATCTCCAGAAGGAACTCAGAAAATGTGGATTTTATTTACGTTTATTTTTCATACACGCAGTTTTTTACCCTAATATAGAACAGCCACATATTTACGTAGGTAATGTAGCATACTCTAGACTCCCCCTAGTGGCTGGGATGATTCCTGTTTTGTGCAGCAAGTTTGCAACATTTTAAACTTGCTGTTTTTGCTATTTGCAGTATTTTCACTTTTCCCTCCACTTCCAGTGGTTGCACCATTTTTCTGTTGCATTTTTTTGTTGTTTGTGTGTTTTACAGTTTGCATCATTCATCCAAAAATTTTGCAAACATCTGACAAATTAATTTTTATTTTATTTTTTTCAAATATATATTTTAGAATGTTCTGGGAACTCTGGCAGAAATTTTGACTCGTAGTGAGAATTTTCAGCAATCAATTAGTAAAACTGTTTAAAAATTACGTTTTGATTTTTTTTTTTTTGTCCAAAAAATTTCACAGCAAAATTAGGAAACTGTCAGAAAACCTAAGCTATAATCAAACACTTTTTGCATTATGTGGAGGATCCATTGTCGTAGTTTTGTACTTCTGTGTTTGTTTGTGGAAGAAAGAAAAGTCAAGTTGCACTTTTAGGATCTGGTTGAGGTGAAAAGTCAACAACCAACTGGAATATCTCATTTCTCATGTGCCTGTTGAAGAACTAAACATGTTTTTATGTGTGTGAATAAATCCTCTATGTAAGACGTTGGTGAACATGTGTCCTTACAGAAGGCCAGTCAGGTTCAAACTGAAGCTTTTTATCTCTTGAAACACAGAAAGCTGTTGTCTTTATCAAAATTAATCTTTCTAAAAGTTGGGTTTTATTGTCAGTGCGTCATATTTACACTACAGTGTTATTAATACAGCTTGTCATTGTAGCATCCAGAACTAATGTTTTTCTTATTTTTTTGTTGGAGTCCTAAAGTAAAAAATTTTAAACTTTACAGTAAACTAAAGAGTCCATTCCTGATATATTTTTTCTGACTTTGCAGAAAGGAATTTGTTTAGAACAAGGAAGCCGTTCATACTGTAACCATCAACACGTTTCTGTGGTAAATGCCTGTCTTAAGTCATATTTATAGATATTTATTGTTTTTATGCCTTTATACTTTTCCATATCACTTTGTTTTAAAAACGAATAAAATTGATGCCTCTAGGAATATTGTTTCCTATGATTAATTGCCGTTCAGAGTGCCATAAAACCAATCTGTCATCAAATTTCTGCTGATGAACCTGTGGAAGAATGCCGCTGACCTTTGACCTCTTTGGAGCCTGGTCCTTTCCTGCTATTGTGCCGCCTGTGAACTGATGCTCCTCTTCCCCCTTTTCTTTCCTGCTTTCTTCTAAACTGTTGAAACATTCCAGAAATTGAAGTTAATGTTATAAAGATCAGTTGAATGGCTTGTGAAAATAAACACTAAGCTTCCTCACATGTTGCTCAGCATCTTTGATCTCTCCAATAACATTGAAAAAAGAGCAACGTTTTGCTTTCAGGCTCATATTGTACACCTCAAAACCTCTTTATTTTTCTGTAAACATTTATGTCTGATGAAAATAACAGCTAAATACATTTTCAAACCAAAGAAAAATTTTAATTTTAAAGGATCATTTCATACTTTTGATACCTAAAATTAGCCTGATTACAATACAACTTGTTGGTAATATTTGATTCTTGGCTAAATGCTAACATCAAGTGTTGAACTTGATGTTAGCATAGCTTGAAGTGTTAGCATACAAGTGTTGGGACATTATGCTATCTTTCACATAAAGATAGCATATTGCGCTTATCAAAGTGGATTTTTCGTAATAAAGGAACTAGACTGCTAAAGTTAGCATTTTAACTGCTAACAGAAGTTCCTTTAGCTTTAGCCTTGATCGTTAAAGTCATCCAAAATGTAATGTTCAGTACACGTGCTACATTTTATCTAACTATAAAACATACATTTCAGTTAGCAAAGTGGAAGAAGCTAATTCAGTTTAGCTAACATGCTACTGTTATTGCATGCTAACTTTTTGGCATTTTTGAGAGTATAAGAATTGAAATTAGAGTAAAGGAAAGTGCTACCTATTCAATTCAGTTAAGAAAAACAAATGTATTAATCCCAAATGGAAACTAAATGAAACTAAACGTCTTTAAGAGTTGTTGTGTCTAAGGGTTGTTATGTATGTTATTCTGTGGACAGGAAGGATTTCAGTCTTGGAACGAGTGTGAAAAACACAAAGACTGTAGGACATGTTATTAGCGCAGTACTGACAATGTTCCACAGCAACATGTCCTAAATGTTGTTAAAGCCAAGAAGAGACGCTGAAGTAGGGGATGTAATTGACGGGAGACAGTTTGAACTTCTTCCTTCACTCTGTTCCTTGGTCCTGCTCTGCATCCATGTATCTTCATTTGAAACTCCTTCAAGGTTAAAAACACTTTTTGCATCATAACTTAAGTTAGGCGGATATCAGCAAAAGCAAATTACCTAACTTCGTAGAATTTCTGAATGCTAAGTAGACGTTAGCTAACATGTTAGCTAATGGATAAAATGTTACTTGCCGCTAAAGTTATGTAATATGAATTCTATCTTATTCTGATATGTTTGCTAGTAAAACATTTACTAGCAAACATAGTGAAATGCTAACGTTCCAAGTAAGAAGTAAAATGCTAAATGATCAGTATTTTAAAATTGATCAGATTAAAACTAAGCAAGTTATTAAGAAATCTTTTAAAATGCATTTAAGTCACTTCAAAATAAAATGTTTGTTTACTGCAAAACCACATTTGAAAATCATCTGAATGTTGAAGTAGTCATTTTGATGGCTTTTCAAATTAAAGTTAACAGAGTCTTTTCTTAACAAAGGTGACTTATTATAAATCTATGGTCCAAATTTCTTAGTCTTTAGGCATGGACATTAAAACCTCATCTGCAGTTTTTCTAGTACATTGTTGATGGTGATTACAGTTTTTCCAATTTAAACAGAGACGGTCGATGTTTAAAGTGTTTTTTATTCCATATACACAGATCATTACCACATCAGAAATGTTAAATAACCATATAGTGATGTATGCCCTGATTTTATCTGCAAATAAACAGCTGTATTTTTTTGTTTTTCAGTTTAGAATCTCACAAGGTGTCTGACTCCTCAGATGTGTTGTTTACACACATTCCTGGTGTGGCAATATTCTTCCTCTTGTGTTGGAAGATTACAGACATTGGCTCAGGGTCCTGTGGGAGCTGAGCAGCTTTGCAGGAAAAACAAATATTTCCTGCCCTGCTCTACTTAAAACTGATGACATTCATGCACGGATAGTAAGCAGGAAGTGGGATATGAGAGGAAGTTGTGTCCATTAGTTGCCTCTGCTAAACGCCAAAGTCCAGATTTTGCTGAAATAACTCAAAATGTCTGACTCCTGATGATCTTTTTCTTATGACCCGACGTCAGACTGGCTGGTGCTCGCGTTACTCATCTTCCTCTGCCTCCCCGGGTCTTCTTTGCCCCCATTGGGAGTGTTGGGCTTCGGCCCCACTTCCACCTGTTTCGCCATTTCGTCTTTGGGGATGTAGCTTATGACGGTGTTGATCAGATTGCGGCGAAAGCTCTTGCTCAGGAAGTTGTAGAGGAGCGGATTGGCCACGCAGTGGAAAAGCGAGAGACCCTGCACCACAATGAAGGAGAAGTAGAGGGCTTCCACCACGTTGCAGCTGAACATGAAGGGGTCGAGATCGTCAATGATCATCAGCAACATGACCAGGTGGTAGGGCAACCAGCAGGCGACGAACACCAGCGAATACACGTGGACCAACCAGACGTCCCTCCGGCCCTCCACGTCCGGGGCGGTCCTGACCGCCCGGGCGATCAAGACGTTGCAGGTGATGATGATGGCCGCCGGGCCAATGAACTGGAAGATCGTACAGAGGAAGGCGACGGAGACGAACCACTCGGTGAAGTTGTGCTCAGGCAGCATGTAGCAGCCCGGTTCGTCCCACTCTAGGATATCCACATGGACGTTCTCCAACAGGGCCAATAGCAGCGACAGCAGCCACAGACCGGCGCAGATGAGCCACCGCTGGCGGCCGACGACGGGGAGCAGGGTGGGCAGCGATGGTCTGGTCAGCGCCAGGTAGCGCTCCAAGGTCATCAAGGCCAGGAAGAAGGAGCTGCTGTAGAAGTTGACCACGTAGATGAGGTTGGTGACTTTGCAGAGGAAGCTGCCCCACAGCCAGACCTTGTCCAGGGTCACCTCCATCATGAAGAATGGCTGGATAACGATCACCATCAGGTCCGACAGACTCACGTTGATTATGCAGAAGAGGACGCCGCTGGCGGAGTGGCGGCGCCGCCAGTTGACCCAGACGACCAGCAGGTTCTCCAGCAGGCCCACCATGAAGATGAACAGGTAGATGAGGAAGAGGGCGATGCGCCTGTAGTTGGCGTCCAGCTCGATGGTGCACTCATAGATGAACCACGGCGTGCCGTTCAGGAAGTCCAGCGAGTGGTTGTGGTCGAAGGTCATGATCTGAAGGGAGGGCAGAGGAGAAATGCTTTATATCTGGACTCAGTTTTGGTTTCGTCAGAGATAATCTGATTAAACGTTTCAGACGTTATGCAACCGCAGGCGCTGCAGGGGCAGCGGGCGTGCCAAGCAAAATGTTAGGAAAATACAGCAGGTTTAATAACGACCACATTCTGTAAAAACTCAAAACATCAACAAGTATTTTGGTCTAGTTTCTACTGCCGATACCTTTGAACAGTTTCAAAAAACACAAAACTAACTCACAAGTAACTTTTAAGCAAGATATAAAGTCAAAAATGTCTTAATATTCATAAAATATTAAGAAATTAATATTTTCTTAACCCTCCTGTTGTCCTCGGCTCATGTCGACCGAGGACAAGCCCTTAAAAAACATTTTTTTAATTGCAGCTGCATACAGCAACTTTAAATCTAACAGTCCTGCATCAGAACTACGGTGTTCACAACTCAGGTGGAATTTTATGCTGAAGCAATTCAAATGTGAACTTGACGAAAAAAATAAAATAACCAAAACCAGGCCTCGGGTCAAAATGACCCAAAGACTAAGGAAAATTTCAGCAGGAAAAACAAACAGTCTGGAATGGCATCATTGATCTCCATAAAACTGATATTTTTTCAAGTTTGTCCTCCCCTCCTTGGTCCTCAGGTCGACATGACCCGAGGACTAAGGTTGGGTAAGACATGGTTTCCATTTTATAAGTGAAATAATCAGCCAATGAAACTAGTACTTTTTAAATTAAACTAGTACTTTTTAAATTAAACTAGTACTTTTTAAATTAATCACAATTAATCAAATGCATTTGCACTAAAAATTAGGCAAAGATGCTTTGTCTAGCATTACTTTAAACTGAACACTTTAAAGTAATGCTAACTTCATGCAGTGTTGCAGGTTTACTGCAACCTGCAAACTCAACGTTTTCAGCAGTTTTCAGTTCACTGATGTTTTACAGTTAAAATGCAACTTTTGGTAGTTTTTTTCTAGTAAATCTGTCTGTAATTTTACGTTCCTGAAGCTTTAAACATCTCAAAGACTCGGTTCAATCCATCAACTGAACATAGAAAGAGTGTCAACCCCAACACTCTTGGGGTTGACTCCATTTTGTCTCCTCAGAGCAGAATTCATCTAAATTTGTCACTTCTCACATAATTCACCTAGCATGTATTTTAAAGGGTTTGCTTATTTCATAGCGACACAAAATAGTGAATAACACACATAAATATAAAAGGCAAATATGTGGAAGACACTGAAAACATTTAGTAGGGATGAAATCTATCCCTGAAAACTAATTTCACTCTATAAAGCATGGTGGTGGCAGCATCATGCTCTTGAGATTCTTTTCTTCACCAAGTAAGACGAACATAGCATGGCAAACAGTCAGAGCTAGTTTCGGTGACGGCAGAATGGCCTAGTCAAAGTAAAGGCTGGTCACATATGTTGTCACATTGAGCTTGATATACAAAAATAAAAAATAGAAAACATATCTAGATTCCACACCCAAAAAAACTTGCAGCAAAAATGGGATCCTCAGAGTTTTTGTTCAAGATATCGATTGCAAGAGCATGCCACACTTTTCAGATTTTTATCATTTTCTGTTATCACATAAAATCCATTTCCTGGAAATGGCTCACAGATGTGACCTTTTACACTGCGAGAACAAAATATTACTGAGTATTTTTGGTTCAGTTTATCATGCAAATATCTTAGAATACTTGAAATGATACAAAGTAACTTTTTGTGTGAGAAATAGTCGCTGGTTTTAAAAATATATTTTCTTAATATTGTTGAAAAATAAAGCTCAAGTCCCACTGGGAGATTATTTCACTTATAATAAAACATTATTTCCATGTTATAAGTGAAATAATTAACATTTTTGACCTAAAACACGCCGCTGTCTTGCTGAAACGCTACTTTGGAAGTCAGTACAAACAAAACTACAATATTTACACTAGAAATTAGACAAAAATACTTGGTAAGATTTTGGTTTTTTGCAGTGAACAGCTGACAACCAAATCTGCACAAAATCTTTTCATCTTAGTACATTTGAAATATGTCATAACTAACTTACAAGAACCATTTTAGAAAGAAATATTAGCTTTTTTTAAAGTAAACAATTCCTTAATATTGATGAAAACGCACTGGTTCTACTGGTAGATTATTTCAGTAATACAATGGGAAAAATGTCTTGTTAGAAAAACAATAATCTGCTGGTGGAAATATTACTTTTTAATCAATTTGAAAGAGTTATCCAGTGTTATGGTCAAATTTTAAGCATTTTAATGAACATAACAAAACCTTTTTATCCGACTGAAACATTTCCAAACATAAAACTTCATCCTACCTTTCTGTGGAAGCAGGTTTTATTGATTTGAACTCGTGTTTTGGTTTTCCTTCAGCAGGTTTGACTTTTCCTCCCTGCCTGGAGCCGATGCCTTCCAGCTCTGATGCTTCGGCAATCTGAGGGATCAAGCAGACGGGAGTCTCTGCCCTCCCACTTCCCAAGAACACACACACAGATAGCTGGCAGGACATCCTCAGCTAGCGATGAGAAGAGGGACTGAAGTCCAGGAAAACTCAATGAAACTAAGAAAATGTCTGTTTTGCCTTTTTTTCCCCTTCATTTTGTCTCCTCAGAGCAAAATTTATCCACATTTGTCACTTCTTACATAATCCACCTAGCATGTATTTTAAAAGGTTTGCTTGTTTTATAGCAACACAAAATAGTGAATAAAAAGAGAAAAATGTATAAGTTGATGTACATCTTCTGGTCACTCAGGTTCTGGACTTTGACTAAGCCATTCTATGACATGGATGTGCTTTTAATGAAACTCCTCAAAAGTAATTTTGGTCTAATTTCTAGTGGAAATATATTACTATACTTAAAATAAGATATACAACAAAATCACAAGTAACTTTTCAACATGATATAGGAGCTTGTTTTAAGTCAATGATTCCTTAATATTGATTAATTTAAAAAGTACGTTATTTCACTTCTAACAAGACATTTATAAGTGAAATAATCTGCCGATAAAAGAACACAGAGTTTCATTTAATTTCAATGGACAAATAAAAATAGCAGAAAATGTAAAATATCTTAAAAATATATCTGCAGAATTCACACAATCAGGTAACTTCTGAAAGTAATTATAATGGATTTTATTTAATGGCATCATCATTATGGGGACTGACACCACTCTTACTTTTTGAGTAATATTTAAAAAATATTTGATATTGAATATTGAAATATTTGAATAATATTCCTCCAAAATCAGTAAAAGTTTGTGGTTGTAAATTTGCAAAATCAGAAATAATTTTAGTGGTGCAGCTTTGCAGGATACAATAAAAGTAATAGAAAAATCATAAAGGCAAGAATAAAAACTACTGATGGGACTCGATTAAAATTTTTAATCAAGTTATTTTCAGGCTGTTATTAATCAAATTTTAATTGATGACCATCTATGGAAAAAATAAGCAACATTTTCAATGTAAAAACAGTGCAGCTGCTAAACTAGTGATTAAATAGACATATAAGCGCAACAGTAAAGATATTTATTGTTTTTTTATCATTATTGCATCAATAACTAATGCGATTAACTAATCTAAATTTATGCATTAAAGTCTCAAACCTAATGCAAACCAAACAGAATAACTAAGTCAGCTCTGATTTTATGGGAACGTGATTAATTTTCAACCATTTTGTCATTTTAATTTCACGTTGAAATGATTCAGAGGAATCAGGCAGAATGAAGGTGTTTCGGAAAGAAAACTGCATGTTTTTTTCATGACCTTGCAGGAATCTGAGGCACAAAGTCCTGACACAAGAGAACAATGCCAGGAAGCTGACAAGCTGAGAGCTTCAGCGGCCTGAAGGGGTCTTTAACCTCGAACCGGCTGATTTAAACTAAAGTTTCTCCTCTGATTGAAAACGGTGGAGCAGGTCCTCCTGACTGAGCGGAGGTGGAACCGCTGAGCTCAGCATCCCATGGAGATAACGCAGAAACATTTGTGTTGGCTGAGTCCCAGCCTGATTAACAGGAACGAGTCTCTCTGGTGTTCTCACTGGACCATAGATCAGGAGCTGACTGACCCCTCCAGCGATCCCCTGCGTCTGTTCCACGGTCATCCTGCCCGGAGGCCATTGAGCAACTCCACTCTGCCTTTTAGTGCAACAAGTAGGAACCTGTCAGCAGATCTGCTCTCCTTCGATGAAACGGGAAGGAAGCGGTCAGCAGAAACTGACATATCCCAGCAAACCTCGCTGAAGAGGTTTGGAAGAAAACCACAAAACTGTCCGGTGGGCGCCGGGCTGCAGAGGGCGCCACAGAGATGACAGAATAATTACTTCTGGACGGGGATCCAGAGAAAGGAGCAACGAAATGCATTGAATGGTAGCTTCCGGGCTACTTTAGAAGAATAACAGCACTGTCATTGTTATTTTACTGTTTTAATGTCTGGAGAAATGTGGCTAAGTCACATCTCTAGAAATGGGACTAATAATGCTTTTAAATATATTTTTTAAGTCAATTACATTTCTAAATTCGAAAGGACAAAAATTTGTTAGAATAAAAACTCAAATTTTCAGATTAATGTAAAACATTTGCTAGTAAAAACAAGGACATTTCTGAGTTTGAAACGATAAAGATTTGCTTGAAAAAACAAATTATGAGGTTAGTGTCAAAAACAAAAAAACATCTGTTTGAAGACAAAAATTTGCTAGAAAAACTCAAATTTAGATTAATGTAAAGAAATGCTATTAGATGGAAAACAAAAGGAAATTTCTGAATTTGAAAAGATAAAAATTTTTATAAATTTTGAGATTAATCTCTGAACATTTCTAGAAAAATATGAGTTTCAAACATTTTTCACTTTTCAAAATCAGAAAATTTTCAAAAGTTGACAAACTCAGAAATTTACTATTTTTTTCTCTCATAAAATTTCTCAGTAATTCTGACATTTTGGACTTTTTAGACTCAGAAATTTTCTTTTTTTCTTGAAGAAATTTGAGATCAATCTAAAAACGTGAGTTTTTGGGTGTAATTTTTTTATTTTAAATTATCTACAGTCAGCCTAATTAAGTTGTATTAACTTATAGAACTCATATTTTAACAGACATAATTCCAGTAATGCTGCATGAACTCACTACTAACTAAATGCCCCATGTGCAATAGGGGTCTCATTTATAAAACAGTCATATTTGTATAAATAAGCTTGAGGAATAATTTAAGAATAATTTGGTGAAAATTTAAACACATTTTGTGCCACTTTTCAAGACTCACCGTTACTTCTCTGAATATCTTGTTTATTCTAAAACAGCAAACTGCATGAGTCTGTACAGCCCATCGATTGTTAAATGAATTGATGATTATTTCCATAATTGATTAATCAAACTGTTTTAGGCAGTTTTATGTAACAGAAAACCAAATAATGTAGATTAATAATTAGCAAACCGTTAAGGCAGCTCACCATATTTCCATAAATGAATGTCTTTGGAAAAGAAACGTCAGACCTTCATCTTTAAAGCTAAAGATTATGACAGGCTGTTCACTTCTTCTGTTTGACAAGAAAATACACAAAAGGAGGATAAAATATTTAACTTCTGCATTTAATTTCAACATCTTGAAATAATTTTTAATTACCTGAAAGGAAACCTAAAGTGGCATTTTTTTTAACAGCTCCATAAAAATGCAAAATAGTAAACATTGTTTACCAATTCCATTATCCACCAACGAGTGTTTTCAGAAAACATGAATTTACCTTTCTGTGACTTAAGAGGAAAAATCGGGATCATAAGGGTTCCGTGTACAGGTTACACCGCCATCTAGTGGTTACAGACTGCAAATATCCTATTGTAACATCTGAAACGTGCAGAAAAACAAACTAATTTCAGCTGTGAAAAGCTGAAATCAGCTGCTTCACTGCACAAAATGTACAAAGCTGGAAGTTCAGATTCTAAATGTTCATTCAAGCACATTGAAATCAGAACAAAATGTTTATTTCACCTTAAATTCAAAGACAAAAATAAAATAAAATCACTATTTGCTTCACACAAAACTGACAGTTTTTAGTGTCAAAATAAAAGCAAAAACAAAGTTTACATGTTTTATACGTTTCCCCCTAAAAATAATTTTCTTACATGTAAAAGCTGACACTTGCACACTTTTACTTTAGCTTACAAAGTACATGAAAAACACATTATCCAAACAAAAAAGGAAGAAGTGAAAATTATGTTGAACAGATGATTCATTGGATAAAAGGAACGATGTCAGAGGAAACGTTTTACAACTACAACAAAAATCAACAACGTTCCTCTGGACATTTAAAAACTTGAGGTATTTCTAAGAGGAAAGTGTCACACGAAGTCGATTCACTCTAAAACCCACCAGCAGATCCAGAACTCATTTTCACCGGTCATCAAGCGCTCGCACACGTTTTCCAGGGAAATACGTTCCAATCTTTGTAAAATATAATTTGGTCCAAGAGCTAATTTGCAAAAAATACATCATGTGCAGCTAACGTTTTGACGAGGCATCGTACAGACGAAGTATCTGCATTCATTCTGCCTCACCTGCTGTCAGGAAAGCTCAAAAACCTCACTGTGTTAAGGCCAAGCTGATAAAATGTAGTGTGACCCTAGAAAGTTATCACCTAATTTTAACCTTAAATCAGAATAATAAAACACATTTGCCACTTAAACGCACAAACCACCACACTGTTCAATCAGAACCAGGATGGAGAATCGGCAGCCCAGAAACTGGACCAGTCTCCTCACAAACGAGCTCCTCATTAGTTCAGACGCTGAAACAACTGGAAGACATGTTCACAGGCTGAGATATGATTGCTTAGTTTCCGTCAATCTCTGACAATATGCTACAAATTTAGCTAAAAAATACAACCCCCCTTAAAACAAAAGAAAAAAAGGGCAGATTAATTGGCAAAATGTGAAAATCTGCTGTGATGAAGCTTTTGGCACTAAGAACTACAAATACTAGCTTCTATGGATGAATGTTTACTAAGAGATGCTTTATTCTAAATAACAAGTATATTACTCATTTAAAGATTTAGGTAATAATTCTGGAAAACTGCTTGTGTTTCCACAAACTAATCATTAATGTTTAGTTTAGCATAAAGACTGGAAGCTTCAAACAGCTCAGCTCTGTCCATAATTAACCAGTTCCGAGTATCTTTGACTCTTACAGGTTATTTTTGTTTTGGCGTCTGTTTTCAGTTAAAATATGCTGAGATTGGAGCTTTGAGACATTACTGGGAACAAAGACGCTCTTGTGCTTCTGTCTTTAAACTTCATGTTTGGCTCAGCTGTCAGAAATCCTTCAAGATTCAACCACAAGCGATTGATCGTACTTCACACAACGTAGGGCTTCGTTTCCACTGAGCAGTTCGTCTGTTATCTGTTGTAAATGAGAATTGAATTAAATCATTCCACAGTTGTATTATGCTTTGTTAAACAGGCTAGGATGGATCACAGAACATGTTACATTGCATTTTTTTTTTCCACAAAATCATTTTAGTCAGAATGAGCTGAAAATGGCTGCAAACAGATGCAGTCATACAACTGTAAATCTTTGAAAAGCAGAGGTGGAGCCTCCTGTACAACCAACAAGAATGCAACAAGTGGCTTCTGGATAAGTAAACAATCTTGTCTTTTTCAACAGCCATTGTACAGTGAATACAGTGATAAAACCAAACATCCTGGAACTTTGGATTGCAAGTCTTGCAATTCAAATCTTGATTGCCAGGTTTCCCTAATCCAAAAGGTATTATTCTATCATAACTTCCCAAATCAGATACTAATTTAGGATCAATAGTATTGATATTTTGGATATTATCACCGAACCACTCAGTGGACACGAAGCAAAAGAGAACATCCAACCAGACTCTCCAAACCAGAGCTGTTCTTTTTTTAAAAACCTAATGTAAATATTCATTGTGCATTGACTATTTATCATAACTTCATTTATTTACCGTATTTTTCAGACTATAAGCCACTACTTTTTTCCATGTTTTGAACCATGTGGTTTGTAGCCCCGTGCGGCTTTTCTGTGGACATTTCTTCAACCACCAGGGGTTGAAGGAAGTGAATCATTGGAAGTCAAAATTAGAAATCAAAGAAGAAATCGCTAATTTTCATTTAGAACAAGCACATGCTAGCAGCAGACACGACAGAGACATTTTTTCAAACTCATACCCCCTCATCATGGAACCCACACAAAGACGTTCATATGATGCAGCTGTTAAGTTGAGGGCGATCGATCTGGCAGGACAGGAGGGAAATGGAGCCACTGCAATGGCTACCTGCTCCGCTGGTAGTCATTGGAGCCCTGCGTCTCCAATGACTACCAGCAGCTTATAGCCCAGTACGGCTTACAATAAGTACGTTTTCAGTTTTTAATTTTTTAAAATAACTTTGGCTCATACTAAGGTACGCTCTATAGTCCGGAAAATACGGTAGTTTAATGTTTGAAAACCAAAATGGAAAAAAACCCCAAAACAAAATAAATCAAACCTCCATAAGTTCATGATCAAAAATGCTCCCATTCCCCACACACACTACTGTTCCCAACAGTGTTCAATACCTAAAGAAATATATATATATATCTTCAAAATAAATATATGCATCATAATGCTACAAGTTTTGACTTGTCACCTAATTTACATATTGATCCATGTGTGCATACTAGTGTTGATCTACAGTTGAAGGCTGGAATGACTTCTGGCAGCGTCCGCAGACGGAGGCTTAAGCGAAAATCTTCGAGATGAAGTCCCGAAAGCGTTTGGCGTACTGCTCAGGATGGACCGTGGAGATTTCAGCCCCGGCCTGCGGCGGACATAAACGGGTCAGAGTCAGAGCGAAGAGAAGAGCGATGTATGTTAATCAATTATATGTTACCGATTCGAGCATTTTCAGGGATTTCAAGGACCCATATGAACTGTATGAACATGAGTTTGTGAAGAGAACGACTGACTCACCCCGTGCTTGACCGTTTTTGCAGCGTGAGCGGCTTTCTTCTTGGTGTCGTATTGTGTGAGAACGTCTATCAGGCCCATGAAATAGACCTCCCTCTGCGGAGCGCCTGAGGTTAAAACGCAGAGAAAGTCACTTGGATGGACGTTAACTTCTGATTTAAGGGCTCAAAAGATTAGTCGCGATTAATCAGTTATGGAAATAATCGCCTAGTAATTTAGCAACTGATTAATCGTTAATTGGAATAGGCTCAAAACACGGCCATTTGCTGAAAGAACAGACTCAGAGCAACAACCAAGTCAAAACTGTTCATTTTATTTATATATATGTTGCATTCAGCACTTTTCATTTTACCCAAAACTCTTCAAGTGGAATCAAGTTTCAGCTTCACCTAGTTTGCTCCCATCTATTAATGTATTTCTAACATTGTTTAAGAAAGGCCTGATTGGTTAAAAGAAAAGCTGCAGAATGTGTCCAATTTTTATCTGATTAACCCATTAATCAATTACTAAGATAATCATTAAGTACAGACCTACAGGATTTAAATATCAGATGCTGGAGCTCAAGGAAAATATGATCAAGGAAAAAGAAAAAGAACCAGAAATTGGGGGTTTATTATAGAGCCACAATTAATTGATTAATCTACGGATTATTCAAGCGATTAATCCGGTAAAAAAATTGGCCGTTGTGCAAATATTTTAGGTTCTTCAGACGTTTTTACACATTATAAATATATTAGAAGATGCAAATAAGTCAATAAGAACTCTTGAACTCTTGATAATTTATAACAAAGGATGTGTTTTCAGTTTTAAAAAAAAGACCAACATAAACATGTGAAAGACTCATCAACACAGTAGAGTGCAGCACTACTCCAACAAAACAAAGGCCCAAAAATAATCTATGGATTATTTAATTTAGGATTAACTGATTAATACTTGGATAGCAAAAGATGTTTCATGACTTTTTTAACAGAAACTGTACCTGGTGAAGCTAAAACTATGCCACACGAGTTCGAGGTAAATATCTTTGAAAAACAAGCAGTTTTTTTTTGTTTTGAATCCGGTATATTTTGTACAGTTTTGGCTTAATTATTACTCTGAATAGTTGTTCTTTAAGTATAGTAGCTTTTTAAAGACTGCATTCTTCACTTAATCAGTCGATTAGGATATTAGCTAACAATTCTATCAATTATCACAATGAATCTGATTAATCGTTTCAGCCATTAAAGTCTGGACTAAAGCTTACTCCATCTAAACCTGCAGTTAACACGCCAACTTTTTTACCTGGGCAGCTCTGGAGGGCGTAAACATCCACGTAGGGGTCGAACTCGCCCGGCCCCAGAGGCTTGCAGGACGACATGTAACCAGCGATCCCTTCAGGAGACGTTCCGTAGGAACCTGCGGCGGGGCCCGGAGCCAGCCCGTTCTCCGACTCGGCTTCCTCCTCGTTGGACACCTCCCCGCTCTCCTCCTCCTCCCGCTCGGCTCGGCCGATGTCATGGATGCCGAGCAACAGGCTGTAGTCCATGATCTTCAGCTTCACCAGGAACTGGAAGAGAGGAAATAAAACGGCTTGCTCAGAGGATTTCACATAAAACATGAAGAAAGAGAAATGAAAGCAGAAACAGGCAGTTTTGGTATTGGATTGGGATCAAGGCATCACTAATCAATATCAGAGTCACTGGGACAGGGAGCTAATGTAATTTCTAAACTTAAATATAGAATATCCAAATAAAGTGAAGCCAGCAATTTTCAGAAACAGTAAAATTTTACCAACAAACCACAGAAATATATCAACATCCACATTAAAATCTTAATATTTATAAATCTGCTCTTACTTTTATACATTATTTTTAAAAATCTCATGTTTCAAACAGTAAAGTTACCGGTGGTTTGTTTTATTTTCTTAGAGAAATCCTTAAATCAAATTAAATAAACTATCTAAATTTAGAGCTCCATGTTTATGTTTCTGTGCTAATTAAGAGACTTTTGTGTAAATTTGCTTTGTTCCTCATTATTTTGCCTGAAACTGTCCCCAGTGCTGCCATCTGTAGGTCAGATAATAGCAAAGCAGTTGAATTCTCCTGTTGTGTAAAACATTTAATCACATACACAAAACCATGTCACTCAGACACACCTCTTAAAATTAAGATTATTTACCTTTTAAATCAAATCTCTATTATTCCAATGACAGTTTTATGTTTTTTTTTTATGTGTCATATTATTAAGAGCATTTCTGGTATGATAGAATTATGATTTGTGTTTTTTTTTTATTACTTACATCTTTTTATTCTAGTTCCTCAATATTTACCATGTTATCAGTAATAATTGTTGATTGTTTTACTCTGAAAACTGTTTTCTGTTTTTTCTCTATAAAAATTTCTTTGTAAATAGAAATTTAGTAAGATCATAGTTTCATTAGTTTAGTAAGATGTAAATTTCTCCGTTCAGCAGATAGCTTCAGATCTGACATCTTGATCCTGTAAAGCGGCAGTGCAGCTTCAGTTATTTTTCCTCCTTCTGCTGTAAAGTGGAGATAATTATCGGCTCACCTCAACATCTCTGTTGAGTTTCTCCATGAACTTCTCCTTCTCCTCGTCTGTAACGTAAACCTTCTGCATGTTGTTCCTGAAGTCCATGTCCTTAAAGGTTGGAAGCTCTTTTTCCTTCGCATCAAACAACACAGTTCAGACATTTTATACATAACTTTAGCATGAATCGATGCTAAAAGATATGCTTACCCTTTCTTTGTCACTTGCTTCACGATCAACCAGAGAGCCCTGTTGTTTACAACAGACAATTTTCTGTTATGAAAATGACATTTTAACCATTTATCTTTTAATTTCTTTAGTCAATGACATGCAAAACCTTTAGGCAGAGTATTTGAGACAGCAGGATGTCTTTTTATTATTTGTTTAAACCTTTTGTTAAATCAACAGCATACTTTGTTTTTTTCTGACTTCCTCTTGACTTTATAAACCGGTACGGTTTGAGCCAACGCCCAGCGGTTCTTCCTTACCTTCAGGTCGTACTTCCTGTGCACCACCAGTCTGTGGCTGAACATGTTTCTCATGACGATGAGGTATGCCTCCTCGCTGTCGACGCTCACCCGGTACATTCCCAGGAACTGGGGCAGCAGCGTGCTGCCGTGGCACTTCACGATGTGCTAAAGGCAGAAAGAGCAGCCATTTTAAACCATGTGCATTTAAGTCACTTTAACTGATTCAGCTCTCATTACACACACAGAAGGAAAATGATTTAAAAATGGAGCAAAATCAGGAAGATCAAGAGCATAAAATGTTATTCTAATTGAATTGGCAAATGCAGAACAAAATAAAGGCTGGACTTTACAAGTTTACACACAAAACATTTCCTTTATATTTGATAGAACTGAATATTTTCTAGCAAACTGCATCTCAACAGTTTGCTAGAATTCTGTTCCATTCCTCCTGTTTATTTCTTTAGCTCCACCCACTTTATGTCTTTGTTGTTTATTTGCATGTTAAGTATAAACGATAACATTTATAGTCTTAGCTTATTCGCAATGTAAGTCCCCCGATGGGCTTTTATCAGTATAAATCAAATAATTGTTTTTGTATCAATGTTTCCAAATGATATTCTTTGTGTATTTGTTGAAGTGCAACAGTTCCTCCAACTGTAAAACGTACCTCGTGCTTTTGTAACTTCAGTTTTAGCTACATAAGAAGGGAAATGTCTTTAATATTGCAACATTTGCTACATTTTCAGTTGATGCGCTTTTCTTTCATACTGCTCTATGTCAAACAAACCAGACCCTTTGGAAAACTTGTTCCCCTTCTCGCCTGTGGGGGCGCTGCACCAGAAACCATTGAAGGAAGCAACAAAAACATCTGAAGGAGACACCGAGCACAACTTCCTTCTCGAAAAATAGAGTAGCATCAGACTTCAGCGCTTGTAAAATTTCTCTTTCATCTTTAGTAAAAACTGAGCCATTTCTCCTGTTAGCACTTCTCCTGTGTTTGTTTTGTTGTTGGATTGCGCATTCACACCTCCTCAAAATAAACCAGACTTTCTAGACAAACGACCTGGAGTTTCATTATAGTAGACTAAACAGGGCTGGTGTGAATGCACCCTAAAAGTTATAGCAGTAGTAAACCAAGATTCATACAAATCAGAGAATACAACAAAAGTGAAAACAATAAAACAGTTCATAATTGGTTTGACTGTGGGAGAAAATTATAGTTTGGATGATGGAGGCTCAGTCGTTCCACACACAACAATGAGATCTACACATTGTTTCCGTTTCCCCAAGGAAGTTTGGTGTGAATGCACACATCCTCATTCTCCAACAAAACAAAGGCCCAAAAGCCAGATTCAAATGTTTCCACTTCACAGCCCGACTTAAAAAATCTGCAGGTCTCAAAAATCTGCAGCAAACAGAGAGCAAAGAGGGAAACCTTGATCATTTCCCTCTGACTTAAAAATAGACGAACATTTGAATATTTTCAAAATACCAACAATCGCACACAAGAGTATTTGTTGCTGGTCTAGTGACGCAAAGCCACAACATTCAGCCTGCAGAGGAGATTCAAATCTAACTTTAAAAGCCTGACACAATATCTAGCATTTAGAAATCTACATTTTCACAGCAATAATATGCAGCAGCATCTATAAATGATTCTATTTAGTTTGAGTAGAGCTGTAACAAATGTATAGGAAGAGTGAAAAAAAAGAAGAAAATGTCATTTAAAGCAACCATGAGTTCACAACACTGCACTCTAAAAAGCATGAGTGTCAATTTTGTGGAATGGTTTATAAATTAAAATTTAAGCCAAGTAATAATATTGCACAATTCAAGTAAAAAACTTAAATACCTAAATAAAAAAAGAACGAGATAAAATGACAAACGCTATTTCAATTTATGTTAGTTTATCTGTAAAGACATTTAATCTGAAAAAAAGCTCAAAAAAGGAAATAAAAGAAACAGACAAGGAACAAAGAAAAATCAAAAGAAGCTGATAAAGAAACAAAAAAGAAACAAAGAAAAAAGTATAACAGAGAAAGAAAGCCTGGTTAAGCCAATTGATGCAATAATTAAACTCTTGAGACAAAAAAAGACACAAAGATAAGAACAGAAAGACCCAAGATGTATGCATGGCTGCAGCTACGCTCTGCTTTCTGAGCCCTTGGAGGTTTTTAATTAAATTACTTTCTGTTTTCCTTCAAAACATGCATCAGCACACACTTACTAGATTACCAACTTCTACAATCACCCAGAGCAATAAAAACAGCATTCCTGAGTGTTTACTCATTGTCTGACACATAAACGAAGACTCCTAATTAAGGGGAGGAGGCAACTTTTGCACGTTTACCTTCAGCAGACATTCTTAACAACCAATTCTAAATTTGATTTGTAGGTTGAATCACAGCTGGTTCCACATCAGCTCAGCAGGCCTCACTGACTCTTACTGGAGAAAACCTCCTGCAGCATGCAGCAGTCCCAGGGGGAGGCGACAGATGACAGATGTGGCGCCTGCAGCCCTGGGATGGTGTGAAGCATTCAGATGCAATGCACTCAGCCGGCGTGGTTTTTATGAGCTGCTTTGAATTGCTTGTGAAAATAAGGAGAACCTATGCAAGTTCTTTTTTTAGAAAGGAAAAGAAAGATGCCTTGGGTTCTCCACGTAACTGCTGAGGTCAAAGGTTAACAGCAAGAGGTCAGATTGCCAAACTATGTATTTTCACTAATTTCAATGTCATGAGATGTTTCTAGAACTCGTCAGGTGTTTTATTGGCATTTATAGCATCAGGGCAGGGAAACTTTATGATTGATGTTCCCTCTAGGCCAGAGCTCAGCTAACACAAACACAAATAAAAAAGCAATATGCAAATTTGCTGCCTGAGAATTTTTTTATTTTTATGAAATTAACTGAGTAACATTGACTTGTTCAATTTTAGTCAGCGTTATTTAAGTGGAACATATATCCAGATTATTTTTCCGCAGTGCATTTATAAAATATTCAAATGAAAATCTGGAAAAGTTGAGATACTATAGGTGATGCAACTTGACACGTCATCATTGGCTGCCGTCTGCAAAGCAGCCAATCCAGAAGCGGCATAAATGTGCCGTGCCGCTGATTGGCTGACTGAAGACGATAGCTTCTGCTTTAGGTGCTAACATGGTTTCCACTGTGCGTACTGAGGTACATTCGGTGTCTGAACTTAAACTGCCCCTGGTTGCCATGGCTACCCGTATCCATCTTGCTGGCTGTGCGAGCTGAAAATAATTTTATTAGCAGAATTGTAAACAGCTTAAATAGTGATGATCAGTACAGTGGGTATCGACGTAGCGTGACATCAACAGATAATCCCTCTACAGATAAACCAATCACAGCAGGCTATTAGTCACCATGACTTTAATTGCGATTAAATTTGTTAGTTTATAAAACAATCTAAACCTTTTTCTGCATTTAAAAGAATTTTTTTGTTCATTTATACTTATCTGGAATAGTTTTGTGGCCTGAATACTTAATTTCATTTTTATGCAAATAGAGGCAGATATTGCAAGTTTATATTTGTTTCTACTCCTTTTCATTCATTGTTTCTTTGAGTTGTCAAATTAACTATTTATATTTATTATAGAGTGAATGAAATAAAAAATAAAATGAGGTGTATTTAAATGCTTCAGTTACCTGGTGATACTCTGACAGAATGTTGTGCATGTCTGCAACGTCTTCGCTGGAGATCTGCTTGATGACAAGAGTTCGGTCGTAGGAGTTGAGGAGGAGACTCTCTCCCTGATCATCTGCACTTCTCACCGGGGGGCTGCGGGTTAAAGACACCTGAAGAGAAAACGACAAACGGCACAAAGTCAGAAAATGAGGACATTTTCTGTATCGTATGGGAATAATAATAGTAAAAGATTAAAACATTCTCACCTGATAGTCCAGATCCTCGATACCAAAACGTTCTCTTAGATTTCGAAAGACCTGAGGACAGTATTCTTTAAACTTAAAATGTCCAGGAAGGTTTTCTCTGATGAAAGGAGAGGAGGTGGAAATGTTAGAACATTAATTCGCCTGATGGTCTTGAAGAAAAGTATAAGTGAGCGTCTCACTTGTTGAAGAAGTGGTTGTTGACTTTGACCTTAGTGTTGGCTTTGAAGTCATCAGGCAGGAGCATGACAGGAACAGGAACCTGGCTGAGATCATTGACCTTCACAAAGGACAGACATATATACAAATTAAAGGTTTGGGATTGCACAACATCTTATCATTCTTGAAGAAAAATGCTTCCGTCAGACCCTAGATACAGAGGCACAAGCAGCAATAGGATAGAAAAATTTTAGTTTCCAATGCAAAAGCTTTTTAAAAAACAACTATATGTGATTTGTATTGTTTTCAATTGTGTAGGATGTTGGGTGAAAGTTTTGTTGATAAAATATATACTGAAGAGGTAATTTAGCCATTTAAGACAATGTGTTGGAACAAGGACACATGTAAACCCAGCAGGATACCGAGCCTTAAGGACTAGAGTAGGAAAATTAGGTTATTCCAATATTTTCTAGATCAGGCTTGCTCTAAGGCTCTCTGAACCTTTCACAGTGGCTTTTGATATTTGGCAAAAATGGTGCAGAAACAACAACTCTTCTGAAATATAGACATTTTAATGCAGGTTTTAGCACCTTTTTAAAAAAAATCCAGAAATGAATTTCCAAGAAAAAAATTATAAGTATCAGCTGTTAGGTTTATTCTTCAAATAAACTCTGAAAGAATCACAATGGGTGCAACATGAACATTTCCTAAACCCACAATTACACTTCAACATCTGCCACTTCTGTTTTTTACTTACTTTTTAATGTTTTTAAAAATTTGCAATTTTTTTTTAAAGTTGTTGTTTCTCTCCTAAAGTTTTAAAATGTTATGGAGACATTTAAGAAATTACATTTAAAAGAAAAAACCCCACAGTAATAGCAATTCTTACTGGCAACCCTGTGAAAATGTGTAAAAAAAATACCCTGCTGCATCTTACATTAAATATTCTAAAACAAAATCCAAGTTTAATGAAAATAAATGTGGAATAATTCCTACAACTTAACCTTGTAGTCATTAAGGTAGACCAGGATTAGAGCTGCACAAAATCATCTAAACATGTTACTACAAAAGTATTTTGATGCTAATTTCACTGTTTTCCATTGTTTCTATAATCATAATCTGTCCAACACTCTCCGTGAGCGTAAGCATCACTGCTACTAAAAATATAGCCTCCCATAAGAACTTATTTTATGGATACACTGTCCTACAAATTTAATAAGAATCCTTATTGATATCCCGACCGCTTTGTGAAGAGAATAATCAGTGAGAACCGCAGCAAAAAGCAGCATCGGAGGCTCCAAAAATCTCATTAAAACAGTTTAACCCAGAGTTTAGCATGATTAAGCTGAAGAGGATAAGGCAAGAGCAGGAGTGTCCAACTGCAGTCCTTGGGGGCCAGTGTCCTACATGCTTCACATGTGTTCCTGTTCCTACACAGCTGATACAAATGGTGACATTACCTCTTCAACATTTTTCTCTTCATTTCTGGAGAATGTTTAATTTAAGTTTGCTGATCCAGGGAACAGTTTAAAAAACGTAGGTTGACCTTTGACATTGGATATGTGCTCCAATCTCGTGAGATGTTCCTGTCGTACTGGCAACAACAAATTTTACCAGAAAGAAACAAAACAAAAAAAGTGCTTCAGTTGTAGCAATAGTTTTTCCATGCAACTTAAAAAGAATTTATTTCACCGAGAATTGTTGCAATAGAAAAGAAAAGGCAAAGTGGAAAAAATGTGTTTTTAGTTACATTTTATATTAACAAGAACACTGTGATATCAGGCTTTTCCAACCCAGTGCAGCTCTTCAGAAGAGCTTCAAAGTCTGAAAACATAAAAGCTCTAGCCATGAAGTAAAAAAACACAATGATCAACCTCATGAATAAACAACTTTGCTTTAGTAGGGGAAGTACTGAGATCAGGAGCAGTGACCTTTAAAAAGCTGTAAAACTAAATATTTTTTAGGAGTTGGACTATTTATTGCGTCGCAGACAAGTTAGTTGTATGCATTTGCAATTAATAGTTTTGTATAAAATAATATAAAGGGTAAATAACAAAGAAATGATTAACATGTTGACATATTTTTCAAACTGCCAAGCGAGAAATCTGATGATAAATGTAAAATTAAGCCTACTCCTAACATACATATTTTAACACAAATAAAAGAAGGAATTTATGTTATTTAAACTGTAACTTAATGCTAAGTTCAAAATAAACACATTCTAAGTCCTATAACCGCCTGTGCAAACTAAAATAACAACCCACAGATCAGATCACTCCCTTTGTGCCATGAAGACATGTTGGTCATTATTTCTTTTAAAGATGACCAAATTTTATGTCACAGATTCTGCTGTCATCTCTCCGAAACGCTGAAAAAAGAGTGATCTAATGCTAACACCGAAGCTACACCGAGTTAGCACATTCCAACTGAGGTGATTAGCATGTAGTGAAACGTTAGCTTCCACCGACTCACCGAGTGATTCACGCCCCAGATGAACACGCTCACGACGGGCTCGCTGGCTCGAAACACCTTCACCTTCTGCTGAACAAAGTGCTTCTTCTTCGTCTTCGTCTTGGGCGCCAGAACCACCATCGGACTGGACGTAACAGTCCCCGAGTTACCGAGGGCAGCCATGGCCGCGGACCGTGTTCTGTCGTCCCCTGCCGAGAGAGAGAGAGCTCCGAGCGGGCGGTGACGCGTCTTCTTCTTCCTGATGATGGTTTAACGGCTCCTTCACGCGCCGCTGACTGTGACAGCTAAAGTTCACGCGCCTTGGCTCTGGTCACTCTAACCGACGCTGCTTCTTCCAGGGTTCAGCTTAACGTTTAAACTATCGACATGAATCAATACTCAGTCTCCCATAACCACAACAGAAGTGTTTTCTTAACCTCACTGACAGTTTACAGTCCACCACTGCCACCTCGAGCTCAACCGCGTTATTTTCAATTGACCGAGCGGTGAGTGTGTGATTGACAGCTGACAGGGACCAATCAAAATATATCTTTTGGAGTCAGGTGACCAAAATGTGGGCGGGAACTTACACTTTTTTTTTGGTCTGGTTTTTTTGGTTGTTCCGCGGAAATTTATGGAAGTCCAATCCTGCCACTTGAAGACATGACTACGGCATTCAAAACGGTCTTGTCATAGTTTTCGGATTTAATTTCAAGTTTCAATATAATTATTTCAACTTTCAAAGTCACTTTAAACACAATTTTCAATCTTAACATCATAACGTTGACTTGTAAAGTCATAATTTTTATATTTAACATAATAATTTCAGTTTTCAAAGTTATATGTTTGACTTTCAAAGACATACTTCCTGTCAAAATCATAATTTAGACTTTCAGTCAAAATGTTAATTTTTGATCATAATTTCAACTTTCAACATCATAAATATGACTTGCAAAGTTATAATTTTGAGATTTAAAGTTAGAATTTCAATTGTCAAAGTCATATGCTTAACTTCCAAAGTAATAATTTCTTTCAATATGATTTCAACTTTCAATATCATAATTCTGAATTTTCTCATAATAACTTCGAATTTTAGATTTACAAATTGTAAATAACTTAGGGCACAGACTAAAAACTTAGTGAAATTCTGGATTTCCAGTTCAGTGAAATTATTTTTTGTGGTAATATTTTGAGGGTCCCATAAACTGTTTATTTGGTATCAATATTACTGCATGTGACAGTAGTTGTATTATGCATGTAATTAAATAAAATTAAACAAATCTGTATCTGCAAAATTGAACAAATAATTGTTTCCGACCTTATCAGTACCCCATATTGATGCGAAGAAACTTTCAACAAACATTTTTTACAATATCACTGCAACTCTATTTCTACTGTAGTTTCTGTTAAGCTACAGTAGTGATGTTGTTTTATTTGCCTCAGCTTTGGTGAAAAGAAAGAAAACATTCGACACCAGGCTTTCTATTAATATATGTTTATTCTTCTCCATTTTTACTGTCATGTTTTATTTTTGAATTTGCAAACGTTTTACAGGTCCTCTGTGCAGAGACCTATCACAACAGCACACACACTGGCACAACAAGATTGGTCAGAAACAGCATTAATTTCATTTAGTAGCACACAGATTTTGGGGGACTTTTGCAAGGACACAGCAGAGACATACCATAACACTAACAAATCGTATTTATTTTTTCAGCTTTTTTCTCGTACTGAAATAAAAAATGATGTTTTGACTTGCCGAAATAAAACAAAGAATAATCATTCTCATTCTTAACCCCTTAAAAACATAACTAAAAAGAAAAAATTAAGAGATAAACATGAGTTAGAACCGTTACATGTCATGTACAGCAGTTTAATGGAGATCTAATGAATACATTGTGGCCGAAAAAGGCATCTTCACCCCGACATGAAATAAAATAATCTCTGTATTTAAATAAGAAACTGCTGACAATATAAAAATACATGGCATTGTATTGTAGCTTCATTAAATAAATCAACAATTCATATATATATTTATATATATATAAAATATTATACTGACGTGTAGAAAAATATGCCTTACAACTTTTTTTTTAAAGAGTAACAGCTGTAAGCTTTTTGTCTGCCACTTCACCACAAAAATGAAACATATGTACAAAGAAACAACTGACAGGCAGTCAGAATGAACCGATGCACTCTTAGAGATATTTTTTCTGACTTGACATGTATTTATATATCTATATATATTTGATACTATAAGATTCAAGCAGTAATTGATGGCAATACATACTCAAAAATAAGTTAATAATAAAAAAAGAAGTATTTTTTTGTCATTTATGGCGATATCAGTGTATCTTTGGAGAGCGGGAGAGAGAGGACGGTGAGGGAGACACGTTTTTAATTTTGAAAATTTTTTCCAGACGTTTTTGTGTCACATCACCTGCCTAACAGTATTTCAGCCCACTGAGATCAGAACAAACATAGGCAGTGTCAGCTATCCCTAAAAAGTGAAAAAGGAAGAAAAAGAAGAGAAAAGCCGGGACAAGAGTCAGGGAATACGGAGGCTCGTTTTGTTTTTCTGCTGAGACAGTTCACGGAGCGTTAACACAAGCAGGCAGCATGTCACAGAGACTAGGCAGAGGACGCTGCTGCAGCTGTTTGACATTCAGACAGATGTTACTGTTGCTGACGCTTGACCATAAAAGAGAGTATCTTGCTGCAAGAGACAAGAGACAGAGAGAAAGAGAGGGCATGAATGTGTATTTTTCCCATAAGGAGTGGTTTATCCCTGTTACCTCCTGTCCAGGCAGTGTCTAGCACATGCTAAAGCCACCCGCCCTCTCCTCCCTGTGCTCCAGCTCCTCCAGCTCCTCCACCCATCAACCACCACCACCTCCTCCTTCTCCAGGCTCAGAGCAGTCGGGCAGACGCGTCTCTCACTCCCCATCGCATGGTAAAGTGCCGTCCTCTCTGGCACGGGAAGGCAGGGGCGCGCCGAGCTCGTCTACGCACCAGCAGTGGCCACGCTGCATGCCCTTGGAGGAGCGGCACTACAAGGAGAGAGAAAGAAGTGGATACAAAAAATTTACTTTTTCATGTATTTTCTTTGGAATTTATAGGGCTTCTGAAGGTTACACCAACTCAGCTGTAAGACTTTTTAAGACCTTTATTAAGATCATTAGAAAATAAATTCAACGGTGGCTTCCTTTAACAGGTCTATCAGTTACAAGTTATACAAAACATTTGCCCTCTCATGTGAAAATGGCTGAAGAGAGAAGACCAATTATAGAACCCTCCATCTTTGAAAAGCTTTAGTAGAGCCTCCTGCACAACCAACAAAAATGTAGCTGGTGGTTTCAAAGTTGTTTCCAGCAGCCATTGTCCAGAGCATACAGCAGTTAAACCAGCTAACTAAGTGTGCTGGAGCTCAGATATGGTTGCTAGGTAATGGTGCAGTATGACTCAACAATCAGGAAGTTATTTTGAAATGGCTTGATTTCCATACTTCAAAAAAACATGAACTAAAACAAAAACGGCTGGATGACTCTTTTTGAGCTCCTGGACTATTTTCAAAAGCAGTGGAAAAGTACAAAAATCTGAATGTTGCATAAGCTTTAAGACTTCTGAATCACTACAGAAATGTACAAAAGAAAAAAAAATTACAAATAGATAAATCACATGGACCAGTAGATAAGACGAACATCGCCCAACCAACTGGCAATACATTCGCATTTAGCCATGATGGAGGTAAAGAAGCTAACTAACTTTTACACTTTCTAGCTAGCGGTAGCTGCTACTGCCTCAAGTCACAGAATGTAGTGAAAATGTTTGAACTACTCAAAGATTTGTGTAGTCGTGAAGACCCGCAAGGAAAAATAAATAAAACTACATAGAATATTTTAGATTAAATAGGCCTTCCACAACAACAATTAAGAGCTATGAATAACATATTTAAATCCATTTTTGTTCTCAATGAACTTAAAACAATTAAAGACTTTTTAAAATGAAACTTAATGATGATTTACCTGATGGACAAAAAAAAAATGGACAAAAAGCAATGGAAAACCTTAAAAGTGTGGCATGCAGTTGTGTTAAGCCTGTCTGAGTCAACACTTCGTATAATTGATACTGCAATGTTTCTTCTATTGTTGTTAGATGATTTTTGTTTTTCAAAGTGGAGCCACAAGAGGGGGCAAGATAAGCTCAGAAAGTTAAAGGGTCACCTATAATTTTTGAAATCATGAAGTCTAACCTGTATTTTAATTATAATTCTAAAATGTAAATTAAAATGACATGGAAATGTTATTTACATTTACATATCCTTCTGATTGACTCAAAATTAAGCTGCTTTGCTCTTCCAGTTAGCGTAGCAGCAAGATATGGAAAAGTTTCTGACAAAAGACAGGCAGAAGAAACAGTTCAGCAGTCCTGCTGTGGAGGACACCTCTGGAAAACCCTAATAACTCAGGGCCGACTAAAATCAGAAGGTATGAGGTAGCATCAAACAGAAAAATTGAAGTCAATTTAAATGTTCTGTAGTAGCATTGTCTGTGGATTTGCAAAGGGGATCTCCGGTTAGAAGTTAATGCAGTTTTGGAGGAAATTACATGAAAAGGTTTGGAACTTCTGGGTTGATACTCATTTTTAACACATTACCTCACTTGGATTTAGGTCTGGACTTTGACTGGACCATTTCCAAAACATGAATGTGGTTATTTCCATTATTTTAAGCAGTTCAGGATTTCCAGCGTTCCCCCACAGCATGATGCTGCAACTACTGTGTTTGCACACATGTAAATGGTTTTACTGGATTTTATTTAAGGTAAAAAGGAGTAAAACAACAAAAAAATCCTCCATGCACTCATGCAAATTGTGCAACACCAAACAGAGTAAAGACCTAGAAACCTCTACCTGCTTTTTCCTGTAGAAGCCCCGGGTGTCACAGTTGGGAATGTAGATGTCACGGTCAGACTGGAAGATCGTCAGCTCCAGACCCCTCAGGACGCTATTGAGCAGCTTGCGACAGGGTGCCTGGAAAAAAAGCAACGCAGAGGACGACTTTAAAAGCCCCAGGGAAGCAAAGACAGAAGCTGGGTGGCATTTAAAAGCTGCTGGCTCCACTCAGAAATCCCTCGTCAGTGTTAGATTAGCAGCTGTTTTGCATCGTAACAAGCAGGATCATTTATGTGTATCAGATGTCACATATTGTGTGACATTATATAACGTTTTGTTATACAATGCTTCAGCTTTTCAGGTCACAGAAATGACTGTGCATTTTTTGGGTGTGAAATGTGACTGTGTCATCTCTTTCAACAGCACACATACCACTTCTGAACATACAGATTTCTCTTCTGTTTGAAATAAATCTGTGGCTGCAGCAGCCAAGTCCAAACTTTCCCGATTCACATCATGCTCAATTAGTTCTGCCGCATAGCAGCACACACATCATGCACCATAATGCATGGCGTGTGAGCAGCGTGTGTACATGTCGCTGCAACACCCTGAACAGCAGCAGATCCGTGAGGAAATGAATTGCACTGCATCCTTATTTCTTTCTTCTTTTTTTTTTTTTACTTTGCAGAGATATAAAAGAAGGGCTTAAACTTACTTTTTCAAGGTCGCCAAAGTGTGAGGGATGTGGACCTGGGAGGAAAGGAAACGCCATGATGAGAATGTGACATTAAGACAACAGCGCTCTCCATTTATCAATTTGTTTTACAATTTGCGATGGACTGCTGCATCTTTACGCTAAACAAGTCCACTGAAGACCTCCTGCTGTGACTGAGGCACTGATTGCCATCAGTACGCTCCCTTTTTACATGCCAGTTAATCGCAGTATCTCAGTTTGAACAGCAGATGGTGATCACTGCAATAAATAGCAGCCTGATCAGGATGTAGGTGACACTGTGACAGTTTCACATTCCATCTGAATTCCCTGCGGAGAGGCTGACTTGTAGGACAAATCATTGTCATGAGCCTTAGCATGGCAATGGATGATACATCTGGATGTGTTACAGCTAAAAAGAACTAAAATCATTTAAATACATCTTTACAGGCAAACTGATGCTGAAACGGAACCAAAAGTGTAATAGTTTCTGCAAAGCAGCAGAATCATGAATGAGTTTCTGTCTATGGTGATCCCAGAGATGCTTCGGCTCTAACTGGTGACACAGCATCACATGCATGCAATAAAAGAGCGAGTCTGCAGTATTCATTGTAATATAACACCAAACGTCAAGCTGAGTTTGTATGTGATTTCATGCACTTGTGTCTTACCTGTGGGGTGGGGCCTCACGGTGGGACTAGTTCTGATGTGCTTGGCGCAAACGCCTCGTCCCTGCAACAGAGCCTGCAGGGGGCTGTGCTCCCTGGGTGGGGGCACGCAGCGGAGCCCCTTGGCACAGCTCAGGGTGTACACGCCACACGGCTCCCCCTGGGCCAAAACTGTCGTGCTGCCGGCGACGTCGTGGTCCCTCGGGGGCCGGCCTGCCCCCAGGGGGTCCTTGCAAGAGGGACAGACCTTGAAGGGCCCCCAGCGGCTTCCCCCGGCCCAAGATCCGCAGTGGGCGATCAGCAGCAACACAACGGCCGTTAAGTTAGAAAGGAGAGGCATCTTCTGTTCAGGTCTCAGGTTCTGCACACTGTCACTCCCTGTCAGTTAAATGTGGCCGATGCTATTTCTGGATGTATATCACTCTTGTCTTTTTTCCCCCCCTGCTTTCCTGCGTCCGTTTCTTGCTCCTAAAACAGTGGATTTCCTTGGCGGTTTGCCGGCTGAGTCCCCCTGCAGTGCCAGAGGACACAAATGGAGATTGAGAGAGACACAGCAAAGCGCCAGCTTTTAAAGATCTGAAAGGCGGTGATCGGGAGTGAGTGAGTGAGTGAGAGAGAGGGAGAGAGAGCACAGTTATGACACCTTCAGGGGCTGGGACTCAAAGAGAGAGAGAGGAAGAGAGAAAAAAAGAGAGAGAGAGAAGGAGGGGGGAGTAAAGGAAGGGTGGATTATATTCCTTTTAGAAATTATCAGGATCTCTCCACCCAATCACCATTCATGCTAATCTGCTCCTTCAACACGTCCAGAATCACTTGGTCAGTTCTGTGTACTTTAATTTCAGTGTCAAAGATCCATCTTGAAGGTTCGCCATGGTAACAAATATAAATGTTCAGCACATGGGCGTACACTGCAATGCTGTTCCCCCTCTGCAAAATGCATATCCAACTCGAAGTTCTTTTCCCGCGGTGGAATCCTCTGTTAGATTTCCTGTCTAAACATGTAACTGAGCTCCACAATTGTAATAATCCCTATAACAATCTTTATGTTTAGGACTTTACAGAACACTGATTTAACGACTCAGATGGTCACATACTGATATAAATTAACTCTTAAACTGTAATCGAGAAGATTAAATGCATCCTGAGGAGCAGTGAAGCTCTGCAAACCACTAACTGTAGCTTCAGAGTTTTAAACAGCAGTGTCCCCTGCAGCTGAAAGCAGAATTAAAAGGATTCAATGCTCTTTTATTTATATACTGCCAATTTACATCAGTTATAATCCCAGAGCACCATGCAAAACAAACAGATCTGATTCATATACAGCTACAGCTCTAAATATAATAGGAAAGCAGAGTCATTTCTGCAGAAATGTTCACGAGATAATTTTAAAACAATAACATGCAAAGCATTTCGTTTGGATTGTACACAGTTTTTAATGCAGATTCTTACCCTGCAGCGACTGATCCTGACTCTTTCATTTGCCACGCAGTTAAAGATCAACTGCATCAAAAATGACATATGGCAGGATTCGTATCAGATGCAGAAAGACACAAACTACTCTAGTTTAAATCTCTGCTTCACAATAAAGCAAGAAATTAATTGCGATTTTGTCAGAAAGATTTTGAGTAGAAAGATTTACACTATGACAGTTTGAAAAGCTTTACTGCTGCAGTAAAATGTTGAGGCTGGATTTCTAGCCCAGCCAAGAAATTTCTGTCTCAAATGTCCTTGTTACACGATAAAAGTTCTGCAGTTAAAAACATTAAAGTTATGATGCTCGAAAGGAAAAGTTGACAGAGTGGATCCTTTGGCAGTGACACCCTGTATTAAGCAGCTTTGCTGTGAAACAGCATGAAAATAAAACATTCTGAAAGTTAAGGGTTAGACTTGATGCCAGACGTTGGTCTTATGGATCCAGCAGAGCGCAGTGACTCAGTGACTGACCTGTTCCTGCTGAAACGCCGGGCTCCATGGGGATGAAATCTGCCTCGCCATCAGCCGCCTGGTGTCCGGATTATGTTTGGCACTGAGTGCACAAATCACCTGCCGCCTTGTGTTCCCATCAGCTCTCAAGCTTCTGCAGGGCTCATATCAGGAGAATGTTCCACGGTTCTTGCCAGACCAGCAGGGGCCTTCTTTTCCACTCTGCTTTGGACTGTTCTTTTTTCTTCCTTGCTCGGTGTCTCTGGTTCCAGTCTAACCCATCTGGCTCAAAAAGTATTTCTTGTCTCTGTTTTAAAAAACAACAACAAAAAAGCCCCACTACAACCATCTGGTTTAAAACAACCCCAATTACTGTTATAATTGCTTTATTAACAATGCATTTTAAGGTAACTAAACCTCAAGTGATCATAAAATGCTATTATTTAAGCAAACTGGTCGAAACAAAAACGTGGAGATGGAAATAATTAATAAGATAGTGATAAATATCAGGATTTTTTGTCTCCATCAGATGAAATCAGGATGAACCCAGAGGGTCGCACGCACACTCATCCGGGAGTCAGGATTGGTCAAACCCTTCACACCGTTTCTCAACTCATGCTCCTATTGGCTGTTGAAAAGAAGGAGACTGTGACGTCAGAGGGAAGCGCCGAACTCCAGTTTCCAAAGTTTAGAGTGATGCTAAGGTTAGCCGATGGACGGCAGTGAGTCTCTGTCCTCATTAACGGCGCACAGGTAAGCGAGACACTCACCGTTATCCGAACGCATGACTGTATGGAGAACTGATTCCTGTTGTGGATATGTTTTATCTGTAATTTTGGTTTCTTACGCGGAACCAGACCGCACCATGCTAACCGCTAACGATGCTAACCCGGATTTAGTTTCACTAAGTTCTCCATTCTTCCGCCACCGAGCAGCCGTTAGCTGTCTGTTTCAGATGCTATCCGGCTGAATAATGGTGATAAATGACGAAATATAAATTGTCGTGTTTTTATTTCTGATGGTCAGTTGGTAGAGGATGCTGGCTGTCGGATGTAAACAGAGACACGCCCCCTTCCCATCGTCAAATTTCACGTTTCCACTGTGATTGTTTGTGGAGGGTTTAAACTACGGAAGAGGATTAGGGCCACTGGAAAAAAAAACAATTAAATCAGACTTAATTGAAAAAAATCAAAATCAAAAATTTGAGAACAAAGCCAAATTTCTGAGATTACAATCCAAATTCTGAGGGGAATTTGGATTTTTTTTCTCTTTTTTTCCTCAAAATTTAGACTTTGGAGAGTCAGGACTTTCTTACTGCAACAACAGTTCTACTTGCTCTACAGTCCCATTTTCCTCCCCAGATTTTTGTTTTTTATAATTAATAAAAAGGGTGTTTTACAACATGTTTACACTATAAGTAAATTGATACACTAAAACAATTTTTTTTCATTAAGTTATAGAAGTGTACAATGTGCATTAGAGAATCTATATTTTGCCTAAGATATTATGTTCCTTCTTTGAATTGTTAAACAGTTGATTTTTAAAAGTGTTGTTTCAGTATTTGTATAACCTACAGATAATTAGATTCCACTACTATTCAGGCATGCTGAAAGTCACTACTTTGTAATAAAATGTCCAGACTTTGATTGAAATGCTGAAAAAAATCTAGAAATTTGAACTTGGAAAATTATGGAATAATATTAAGAAATATGAACCTTGTTGATATATTTGAAGCTAACTTCCTGACAGATTGTTTTCTCTTCTTTTTTCCCCTTTGGTCTTCATTTAGATGGATGACATCAATGTTTTACACCACAGATGCCTTCTCAATTTGAGGCGTAGAATTCGAGACATAGGAGATGGTCGCCCAGCACAAGATCGATGCATGAGGTTGCAGAAGGATGGAGACACACTTAGGTCAGCCTCTCTATAAAGATTTAATCATTCTTGGTCATTTAACCTCTCTTTTTAATGAACATTAATGATAGTAATTTGCATAAAAGTCAGAAAGTTAAGTGTTTTGATGATCAAAATTTGTTTCAAGAAACATTTAAAACGAGCTGACCTTATTTGGCCTATCAAAAGTATACACCACTCTTCCCATTTAGTCATGTTTAAGGAATTACTTTTTCCAAACTTTGGAGCCCATATTTTTACAAAAGATGGAGGCCATTGGATGGACCTATAATTTTATTGCTTTGCATTGGTAAATAAAACTGAAACCGTTTTTGAAGGATTGTGTAGTTATCCTTGGGCGTCCAAACATGGTGGGACAAAAAATAAACAAGAGAAACATAACACTTTTGGAAAGAGATCAGAAAGAACTGGCTGAATCTTCTGACTCCCATGTGTTCCTCCTTTTCTTCCTAAGGTTTATTTTATTTTATCCTGGTGCCACTGTAATTATTGTAAAATTATAAATCTTAGAAATTGTTGCTTTTCAACTTTTATTTTAAATCTTAGTAAAACACAGTTTCAATAAAGTTTTCCAACACAAAAAGCTTTGGTAGAAAAAGTGTAAAAGTTAGTTGCACTAACCCTAAAGCACTAATCATAACCATTAGTTTTGCTGATGCTAGCACAATACGAACATGCTACTTAGTGGAAGCTAATGCTAAAGCGCTAATTACTACCACAGTGATAATCTCCAGCTGTCAATGACACATGTGTTAAATTCACCCTCAACACGATCAAATATGTCATTTCAGAGCTATTTGAACTGCACTTCAGGAAGCGATTCTTTGGAGCAGATCAAAAGTTGTTGAGTTTTGCTGTCGCTAATTTTGGCTAATTGACAACGGTAGGCTTACGGACAGAAAGTACACAGGACATCAGTAGATTTTAAACTGCTGTGCATTCTAGGTACATAATAGATGTCATTTGCTGCACTGCATGATGGGTGGAGAATGTAAAGAGAGGAAAATTCTTCACCCACTTCAAAATAAGAGCATAAACATAAACAAATTCCTAAATGTCGGAACCAAAAGTTCAATGCAGACGTTAAACTTTATTCAGCTGAAATAAATTGACACTTTGGAATGCATTTGGAAAAATTTATCTAGGGAAAGCTAAGAGCATTAAAGTTTTGTCAAAGTTATCAAAAATGCTTAATTGCTTAACAAAAACATTGGAACAAGGGGCTGGTTATGAGCCGTTGTTGCTGCAAACAGTAACAATGACTATAAGATGAATGAAAACTCCCGTTTTAATAATTGTGTTTTATTCTTGAATCCTGTTGAAACACACCTTTCATGAATTTCTCTTAAAAAATAAACTCCAGCAGTCTCCAAAGTTTTCTGATTTGAGTGACTGAGGATCCTAACAGAGTCTCTGGAAACCTAAGAAGCTCTGAAATAGAAAAGTGGAAGTTTTATTCTGTATTGCTGTAATGTAATATTTGTTTACACGTTAAAATCAACAACAGTAGACCAGTAAATCCTAATATGCAAAAGAAATGCTTCAAACAGACTGTGAAAAATATGTGTTTGGCTATTATTTCAAATCAGCATCCTGGTGAATAATGGCTAGATCTATTTCTCATTACATCTCTAACATGTTGGTGAATGTACTTCGATCAAGGGTTTTCAGGGAGCTGATGTTTAGCTCAAACAGAAACTGGGCCTATTGTTAACCTGTAATTTCCTCCCTGTAGTTACCAAGGGAACTCCGAGGAAGTGGGTTGCTATGTGGCTGGCCATCCTTTATCAAAGGGAAATTGCTACTTTGAGGTGAGGCACCTTGACATGTTGCAACTGAGCTGCCAGATGTGAACTGATCACTTTAGTTTATATTTAATTTGCTGTAACTCTAATTGATGCATGGTAATGGTGAACCACATTCCCCACACCATCAGCCCTGGTTATACCCAGGAATGCTTTTCCATCCAACTAGCAATTTTAATCATTACAGTCCAATTTTTGGTATTTTTTCCTCGGCTTTATATTAAATTTAAAGTAGCCCCCCAGGAGTTTAAGCTCTCCATTGAAAAACCACTATCCCAAATTAAGCATGGGTGAGTGTGAGATTTATGTTTTATTGTAATTTGCTTAGTTAAAATTACTCATGCACACGCTCACTGACCATTTCGTGGCTCAAAAGGCATGTCATGTAATGTCTGAAATGTCTGGAGCATCATAGGAAATCCTGACTGGATCGACCTCCATTAACCCTCATGTCAACTTCAAGTTAAGCCGAAACGAGATTTATGTCTAGCCCTGAAACTGAAATCAGTCCTGTTACAGATAGAGATGCAAGTTGATTAATAAGTTAATCAATTAATAAGTTAATCGAAAGTTGATCAGTTAATCCACTAGATTATTATTATTCAAAAACTTGAGTTTATTTTTGTACAAAGAGGCCCGACCGTAATATATTTTCATACTATGCTGAATAATACTAATAAGAAAACATTACATTTTAAAATAGTTTCGTGTCAGCTGTATTAAACAGTGACAACAGAAACTTGTGGTTATCTCACATTAAGATGATGAAAGCATGGCCTCGTAGCAGCTGAATAGGAAAATAAAAGATTAAAATAGTACAATATATGAAACACTTACAGAGACGAAGCGTGTTTGGATGAGCGCTATTAATATGAAACTTAAGGAGCTTGTCGGTTTCAAAACAGAACCGCAGAAAGCGCATTTTCCACCCCACATTTTCTGTTTGGACCATTCTATTGCGTCAGCCATCTTGTATCAACTGGTTCTGCTTAATGATGACCAGCAGCGCCCTCTGCTGGATGGCAGCCAAACTGCAACATTAAGAGAAGGTCTAAAAGCGACATTAAAAGTTAGTCCATTGGAACTAATTTAATCTAGTAACCATTTATTGATGATTAATCAGAAGTTCATTAATTATTTGCATTCCTGTAATGTTTGGGTAAGAGAAAAGAAAAACTATTTACTGTGGATTCTTTGAACTTAAAATAGAGCTGAAATTGGCTCAGTAGTGGTAGTTGGACCAGTCGGATAACTCATGACTGGACATTGAGCATCTTTTCTCCACACTGCTCTTATTATGTCACATTTAACCTTTTTGTAGATTAAATATATGTCAAATTTCCCGCACAATAACGATGATAACAAACGACTGTCTCATTTTGAGCGTTGTGGATCTCCCTGACATTTAGAACAAGTAGATTTTACCTGGGTCGTAACCCAGAGGTTGTGCTACATTATTCTCTGTTCTGTGACGCACATGCTGTCAGTTTCCAAGATATCTCTTAAATTTGGGAGCATTTATTTTGCTAAAGGTCAGACTTCTGTCGACATATGCGTCACTGCTTCCCTCATTTCTCCTTGTTTTGCTTTCAGAAGGAATCCGTTTCACCCCGGCTGTCAGTACTCCTCTGGTTTTTTCAGGTCTTCAGGCTTTGATTCCTGCTGAACAGCTGCTCCATTTCGCTTGTTTTAATAGTTTTTTTCCGCCCTCATTTTAACCTAATGGCACATTACCAGCAAATTCCTTCACCGTATGTGATTGATTTTATGTTTTTGTGACTTTTATTTAAATCATACGGACAAAGGAAATGTTATGACAGGGTGTGCCGAATATTTTCTTTTAGGTCCCAAACTGAAAATAAAGAAGTGAAGAAAGCAAAGGTCCAAATATGTGATACATTTTTGAGATATTTTCCATAAAACCAAGGTTTCTCTCAAGGTGAACATGTGATATTAGTGTTTGGCTGTAAATCTGGGTAGCTGCTTGTTCATGTTGTTACTAATGAAATTAGCTTAGATACAATAACCACCAAACCTTTTGGTCCACGGTTTAGATATGTAAAAAACCTCAAACTCTTCGTTTGTTTTCTGAGAAAGTTTGGTTTGTTGCAAAATCAAACCAAAAAAAACGAACTGTGGTCCGCCAAACCTCAGTCTCGTTTCGATTCAAGTGAACGCTGGTGCTTGAATGTTAAGCGGACTGGTGACCACTCCAAAAGCTGGAAATGGACAATACCGCAAGGCATTCTGGGTGAATATAAGCAAAACAAATGTACTAGCCCAATGCTAGCAGGATCAATGGTATATGGTCTTTACCAAAGAAAAAGAAAAATCCTATGACTGACACCACTCCAGTTTTGTTTTCATTTTGTGAAGAAGGAAGTTGCACTCAGTGTCTTCTTAAGAAGTTTTTGTCATCTCTTTCAGTAGTTCTCGTTGCAGCGCCCCCGCAGGCGAAGAGCGGAACAATAGCTCAAAGGGTTTGGCTTGCTTGAAATAGTGCAGTATGAAAGTGAAAATGTTACAAAAGTTGCAACGTTGGTCCTCAATCGAAACGAGTCTATCAGACTATCAGATGTGAAAACACCCAGAGGACGAGTGAGAAACAGAAAAAATCAGCTAAGACTTCATGATCCCAAGATGCCACTTCTTTGTTTAGCTTAGATTAGAACTTTAATCTAAAATCTCACTGATTTTAGATTAAAGTTGCAACACAAAATTGTTGGGTTTTCTTTACATTTGACCATCAGAAAGCCACGATATTAGTCACATAGATAGTGTCTTGGCAGAGCTGAGAAGGTGTGACCGTTGAACTTTATTTAAGTACTGTGGATCTGTCAGGAATGTGCCAAAATTCTAGCAATCTACAATACACAGAGAAACTTGTTGAAAACAAGAAGTTTTTAAAACAATTGACACAGTGTAAAAGGTATTTCTACCATTTCTATAGAAATTGTTATGATGTAGATCTAAAACAAATAATCAGATTAATCATGATTAATCAGTTCTTGAAATAACTATCAGCTAATTCACTAGTTGATTAATTGTTAACTGGAGTAAATTAAAACTGCTAAAACTCACCTTTCGCTACTCAATTGTTAAACAGTTAATCCTAAAAAAACACTGAATTGATATTAAGTCAAGCAGAAAGGCCTGAACTTTTCATTCATTGATATTTTATATAAAGTATTTTTTTTTTTGCTGCAGATGCATCTTTTACTACAAATGATCAAGTTTTCAATAACACTGAAGGAATTTCTATGTCATTATATTTTAGACAATGAAATGCTCATTTTCTTATTTAAAAGTGGAATTTAATTATTTGTTTATTTGCATCTTTTTATGCATATCCAATATTGAATGAAAAATTCTTAAATGAGCAAATTTCTTTATCCGATTAATCAATAACTAAAATAAAATCCTTGCAGCTCTATTCTAATGTTTTACCAATGGAAATGGTTTGAGAAAGACGGAAGAGAACGGGTTTTGTGTCTGATCTGTATGTAAATATCCTTTTCCAACTATTTGCAAGCAAACCTAAATTGCATTTGTGAAATAAATCACCTTTAATTGGTGCCAACGTTTTGTGCATCTGTAGGTAACAATAGTGGACACAGGAGTGAGGGGAACCATCGCGGTGGGCCTGGTGCCTAAATTCTACAGGCTGGACCACCAGCCTGGCTGGCTGCCATACTCTGTAGCTTACCATGCTGACAACGGCAAGTAAGTCGACCACAGATCTCCTTACCCAGCGGAGAAGCATTTGGTTCCTGCATCAGCTTAGACAAACTCATTTTCCTGCTGTACATCCACAAAAATACACCAGTAATCCTTCAGCGCTTTGACGCTGTCATTCTAAACCGATGTTTCTCCATTATTTTCTGTCATGCCTCCCCAAGGGATCATAAATTGCAATACTGGCACCAGCACCATATGATCTGATTATTAAAACAGATTAATAAATTGAGCTGCAACAACTTAGACATTAAGTTATTGCAGATTGATTTATTGTTCTAAGTCAATCGATCAAGTGTATTTTTGTAGCACATTTCAGCAACAAGTGCATTACATCATAAAAACATAAAAATACAAAGTTATAGAACATACAGTTAACAACTGAATCATTATACTGAATCATTAAACAATTTCCAAATTCAGTTTTTAACTCTATTAGTAACATTCAATTAAAACTACTCAGTCTATGTGATTTTAAAGAGAAAAAGTGCAAATGATTCATAGTAAAACTTTTTAAAATTGTAAACAATTGAAACTTCTGAGCTTCTTATGCTTCTTCGTTTTCAGAAGGCATATAGTTTTTTTTTTTACAGTTTTTGTGCAAAATGTCCAAAAATATTGCATGTTGGAAGAGATTAAATATTTTGTATTCATTGTAAATAGACTTAGGGCCAGACTAAGGGCGTTTTTTGTTTGCTAGTTTTTTCTTAGTACGAGAATAAAATTGCAATTTTATGAGAATGCTACACCAAACTGTGTTAAAATGATGAATACTGAAACACATTTTGTGCCATTATAGTTGGTATTGGTTTTACAGCCAAGAAAACACTTAATCTTTCAACACATAAGGATTAAGTTATTATCTCTAGCGGGATTGTTTAAATGGTTGAGTCAATTTTGAGGAAAGAACCACAGACTTGATGCAGATTCATTCTTTGTTACAAATGACCAAGAGCTCGCTAAAGAAATGCCTTGTTGCTTTTTCGGCAAGAACAAAAGTTCATTTTCTTATTTTAAAAAGGAATTGAATTGTTTATTTGCATCTTTTATTGCATTTTGTGTATTGTATAAACAGGTAGAAGTGGTTAAATGAAAAATGTGCAGTATGTGACAATTTTATTTGTCATAATCGATTACTACAATAATCATCAGTTGCAGTTTTAGTGTTTTCTCCTTCTGTTGGATGCATACTAGTTTCATGACCCTGTTTGACCTCACAGAGACAAAACCTCTGTGGCCCACCAGCTGTTTGCAGTTTGAGGTGCTTCACAGTTTATTAGAGAGCTTAGTCAGATTCGTGATGCTAGCAGAGTTCAGTTGTGTAGAACTGAAAACTAAGCTTGTTTTTCTGAGGCAGACAGCTGTAGGGTGAAAAGCAGCTCCTTGTAATGATCTATGAGCAGTCTGTCCAGACAAGACAGAGGACATTGACTCATGACGGATCCTCCACATGCAACAGAAGATTATAGGAATACAGATGAAAGAGTACGCAATTGTTTTAAAACCTCCTTATCAGTCTGGCTCTGAACCCTCAATTATTTGCCGGCTTTCTTGTTTGTTTTTTGTCAGCTTTTACATGTAAAATGAGAACCAGAATTAGTTATCAGTTGTGTTATTAACTGGATTTATTTATTTAATGTGTTTGTGTTACAGGTTGTATAATGGTAACCCTGTTGGAAAGCAGTTTGGGCCAAAATGCGCTCGTGGTGACCGCATTGGCTGCGGCATACACTCAGAAAACACAGAAGCTGGTCTTACTACTGTTTTCTTCACCAAAAATGGCAGCGAGGTGAGTGAGGCTTTTAGTGTTTGAAATGTGTGCATGAAACAATGACCATTAAATCTTAGTCTTGGTATAAATAAATGCATTAAAGAGACGGTTCGACCTACTTTAGCTTATAACAACTATCTTTTAAAGAAGAATCTAGATTCTTTGCTCTTATCTTCCTGTTTTTGTTAGGTTATTTTCACAGCTGCCATTTTTAATCCACTTTAATCCGACTCTTGTTTGTTTGCCTAGAAAGTCAGATCGCATCAAACTCTGATGCGAACCAAAAAAGTGAACTCTGGTCCGCCTACAAACATAGATCTGGATTCAGTTGAAGTGAACTCTGATGCAGTTTGAATGTTTATGTGAATGGAAAATTGACTGGAGATTCCTCCAAAAGCAGGATGTGAACAATAGCGCAGGGCATTCTGGGTAAAAACAATCAAAACGAACACTAGTGTCTTTTAGCGCTAGTGGGAGAAATGTCTCGTGGTTTTGTGTCAATGACAACAGAGAAATTGTACAACCACTAATATCTGACTCTGCTCCATTTTGGTTTATATTTCATGGAAAAGAGATTTTTGCGTAATTTCCTTCAGTGGTTCTTGGTACAGCGCCACCACTGGTGAGGAGGGAAACAGATTTTTCAGAAGTTTGGTTTGATTGACAGATTGCAGTGAACCTCAGCAACTGAAAATGTAATAAATGTTGCAATTTTGTTTCCCAATCGAACTGAATCTATAGGACTGTAAGATATGAAAACACCAAATAGATTAAAAAAACAAGAATATACAGAGAGAGAAAGAATGATGGTAACGGACAGATAGCGAGATAGAAGGTATTTTTGCTTTAGGATTGTTTTTCTTTCACAAATGTAAATTGTTATCTCATTTAATTTCTGAAATAGAATTAAAATATGTTTTTAATATTTTAAAAACATATTTTAAAATATTAAAAACATTTGACTTTACAATAAAGTCAAATAAAATTGTCAGAATATTAAAAATAAAGCCAGACAATATAAATTCCATACAATTAAAATGAGAATTGATTTCAAAGACAACATTTAATGCTTAATTTTGAAAAATAAAACGGTAATATAAACAAGTTTGTTATACATCTGTTGTTTTTATTGATTTAACAGACATTTTGTAAGTTTATTTCCTGTATATCTTGTCCAGGTGGGTTCAATAGAGGTTCCTGTGTCGTCTGAGGGCCTTTACCCGGCTGTAGGTATGCACTCCATGGGGGAGGAGGTGAAGGTTGACCTGCGGGCGGAGTGGCTCTTAGAGGAGGATGATACCATGATGATGGTTGACAGCCATGAAGATGACTGGGGACGGCTCCATGATGTCAGAGTCAGCGGCATGGTAAGAAACAGAAAACGTCTTTGGTTGGACTTCTATTATTTATTTATGGATTTTAATCAATTCTGTCCAGCAGTGTGGCTCTGAATAATTATTGTCTAATTGTCAAAAGATTTACTTTCACAAGTGGAATCATTACTCCAGTATAATGCTCCATTTGATGCATAAATAAAAGTTCTAGACCTTTGATTCTGAGTCATAAACAAGTTATTTAACTAAATTAATGACATTTATTAATACCTTTTAGTGATTAAAATGAATTCTGACTTTAATCTCAGAAATCTGACTTTTTCTGAGAAGAAAGATCAGAATTGTGGGAAAAATACATATTTATGACATTAAAGTCAAAATTCTAAAATTAAAGTCAGAATTTTGAAAAAAGTTGAATTCTCAGAGAAAAAAAATTTAATTCTGAAATTAAAGACAGAGTTTTGAGATAAAAAGTAAAAATCCATAAATTAAAGTAAGAATTCTGAGAGAAAAAAGTCAGAATTCTGAAATTAAAATCAAAATTCTGAAATTAAAATCTTAATTCTAAAATTATAATCTGGATTCTGAAATTAAAATCTGAATTCTGAAAATAAAGCCAAAGTTCTGAGGAAAAAAGATTTTAATTCTGAGATTAAAGTCAGAATTTTGAGTAAAATGTAAAAATTCTCAAAGTCACAATTCCAATAAAGGTTAGAACTCTGAGAAAATGAGGTAAAAATCTGAAAGAAATAGGTGAGGATTCTAATATTAAAGTCAAAATTCTGAAGAAAAGCCAGAAGTCCGAAAAAAGTCGGAAGATATTCTTACATTTGCCAGAATTCGGAGACAAAAAACAAAATTCTGAAAAAGGGTAATAAACAATATTTACTGAAACAAATTAACTTTAAACAAATAAATAGCAACAATGAAATGTGAAGTAAATTTTGAAAAATGAGTAAAATGATACTTATTTTTTTATGTATATAAAAACCTGTTTTTATATACAACAAAAATTACCTATATACTAAACAAATGGAACATTACAATCCTGCTTTAAAATATTACATGAGTGTCATCAGATTGTTAAAATAGCAACATATTTATTTAGCTGTATAAAAACAAACTTTGTGTCTTATGTATATTCAGGCTAAATATGTGAACATATGATCATAACACTATACAGGTAAGGTTTGACAAGCTCTTTTGAGTTGAATATAAATTCAAAATTATTCTAAATGGGAATAAAGGAGCAGAGCCTCATCCTCGCTCGAAATTTTAGTAAGTATTTTTGCTTTGTTGTGTTCTTAGGGACTATGGAAACATTTTCCCATTTTGATTTGCGCATGTGCATGCAGCACTTTTCCAGTCTTTGTGGTTTCTGTGGAATTACCGATCTGTCGTTGGATTGCAGTAGATGTTTTGCACCTCTTAAGCTCCTCCTGTGATTTCACCCGCAGCGCCTCTTTAATCTTTGGCCTAAACCGTGGAAGAGTTTTTACACGTTCCTGTTTATGTAATCGCTGTTCCGTATAATGGCCATCTTTACAAATTAAGAAATGGGGAGCAAGTTGACGGGAAGATAAATAGCAAATCTAACTGGTATGCATTTGATGAGGCATCACTGACAAGTTCAAAGGCACAAAAAACACAGAGTAAAGTAGTGATGGTAGTGACTTGTCTACAGTTAAGTCTTTGCTTTTGTGAACATTTACATTACGATACAGAGGATGGACGCTCCTTTTTGGAGCCAAAATTCATCTGCATCTCTTCCTGCACTCAAAAACACCAAATCTTACCAAATATTTTTTGGTCTGATTTCTTCACTTGAAATAAGACAAAACTAACATACAGGTTCAACAAGATGTTAACCTTTGCAAGTATGTCACTTAATAATTTGAGGCAAGTGGTTACGATTGACATCTGCTGTCCATCACTGCCGTAACTTTACTCATTAAAAGTTATAAATATATATATATATATATATATATATATATATATATAGATAGATAGATATATTCTCTTTGTAAAACAAACTCATAGAAATTTTTGAATTTTCATTAATCCCACATTGCTGTGACTAATGATCCAGCTAAATGCAATTATTGTAATTTTAAAGTTAATGAAAGTTGATGAAAAATAACTCAATCACCAAAACTTAATTTGCACTGTGTTTCCAGTTCTGCCACAAAATGACCTTTCAGTAATCTCATTGAGCGCTCAGGGGGCAGACGCTAACGACAACAGGGCAGCTGGTACCACTCTGTCATTCTGACTGAATTAGTTGAGCAGAATGGCTGCTTAACATCATTCTACTTCATCTCTGCATCAAAAAGATCCTACAGACAAGAAAACCGATGCTTTTATTGCACCCAATTTAAATTTAGTATTGAAACGTTTGACTTTCCAGTTTTTTTCTTTGTTCTTCCAATAAAACGACTGTAATAACGCTTAATGAATCCAGTGGATTATTTGTAGACAAGCGCTTTATATTTGTTTGTAAATTGTTTTGGATTTATGTCAAATGAAATGGACAAGAATGTAAAAGAAAGAGGAAAAATAAAGTCAGCAAGTAGTGGGGTACAAACCTAAAATGAAAAAGAGAAATAAGAATAGAGGAGAAACAATTAAAGTGAATAAAAGAAAACACTCGTGACTCTGCTTCCAGGCCTGCAGAAAGAGAAAAACAAACCCGACAAACCACTTCTAGAAAGACATTTTCCTCACATTATAACTTCATTTATCTGCCAATGGAACAAGTACTTTTTCAATAATATGAAGGAATTATTTACTTAAAACAAGCACCCATTTCTTGATGGAAAGTTACTTTTAAGTAAGTTGTCTTCTTTCAAGTGTATTATGAAATTTTCTCTAGAAACTAAACTAAAATGACTTGGTGAGATTTTGTGTTTTTGTAGTGATAAACTTTTAAATTCCAATGAACATTTAACACTGGAACTGGAAGGCATTTAATATTTCCTAAATAAATAAATAAATAAATAAATAAAACAACATAAATAACAAAATGAATTAAGAAGTCAAAACAAAATTATCTATAAAAACTCTTCACCTGACCTTGTGTACCAAAAGACTTGTAGACAGACAGAAAACACATAAATTAAAAAGCCTCCTTTATTACACTTCTTTTCTAACAATGGAGGCCTCTCCCACTTCTCAAACCTTTGACTGATCTGTTTGGTTTAGGTTTTAAAGCTTCTCAGAGTTTACCACCAATCAATTAAGTGTGGTCTTGAATGTGATCGGCCTCTTTCGTTTCTTTAAGTTTACTCCTGCACACATGGATCCATGTATTTGTTTTCTACCTTCATCATGACTGCTCAAGACAAAGGTCTCCTATGCAAACACGACCTGTGTGTTTGGTCATAGTCCATCTGAATGAGGCTTTTCCAGCTCGCCACCCTGTTTGCTGTTTCACCGTTTCTCTTGAGAGGAAATATTTGGCTGGCGTTCCACTGCGTACGTGCGGCTCACTGCGAACACGAGCCTGCAGTCCCTCCGCCTCCTGTTGTCACAACGGTCTCCCTGCCCACCAACTTAATCCCGTCAGCTGCGGATGAGTGGGCCGATAAGCAAAGTGGACGCCATCTAAGGCTGTAGTTGTCCATTCCCCCAATCGTCCAGTCGTTGCTTTTTGAGCATCCGTTCCTCTGTGTGACTTCTTTACGCCGGTCATGTTGTTGTCTAGGAGGTCATCTGGTCTCTCATGAAAGGAAGAGATGTATCGATAATAAGGCAGGGTCTTCACCAGAGCATCAGCTGATCTGCCAACACCATCATCCATCCTTCGTTCCTTCTGTGTCTATCTTTCCTTTCATCCTTCTGTCTTTCATTTGTTTGTTTTTCTTTTGTTCTTCAATTCTCTTTTTCCTTCCTTTCTTCCTACATTCCTATTTTTCCTTCCTTTATAACCTCCATTCCTTCCCTCCTTGCACCCATTTTCTTCATCCTTTCTTATATTGTCAAAATCAGTTAGTCAGTTTTCACTGTTCCTTCCTTCTTTCCCTTCCACTTTCTCTCCATCTTTCCTTCTATATCACACATCTCCTATTGTGGGACATCTCAGGTCCTCCAGCTTTCAGGAACCATTTACTCTCAAACACAGACAAAAAACATTCTGCAGCTGCATCAGTATAAAAACTGAAAGTCAAGAGTCAAAAGTTAACTTCTAACTGCAGCGTGGTGCAATCCCAATATTGACCAATCTAGTCTCCCAAGACTCTCTTCAAATACCTTTTGAGCAGAGGTAAGTAGAGAACCCAAAGATTTTTGACATTTTGAGTTCTACTGGATCCCAATCTACTTCCTCTATCACCAGTAAAAACCTCATTAATGTTGTCAAGCTATATGTACTCAGGCAGTGATTTTCTGTTTCCCACAGGAGCTGTATTCACAGTATATTATGTCAATGCTTTGTTGTGGCATCAACCTGCACCTCTCCATCAGTAACAACATGAAAGCAATCAGCATCATTTTTGACATGGTAGCTGTCATTCTGATGTAATGGGTGCTGTGTGTCAAGACATGAACGCGGGACCTCTATGTATGTCCTGCGGTGTTTGGCACCGGTGCTGGCAGCGGCTGTTTGGGTTCTGTGGGTTAAGGCGTTGTTCTTGTGTGGCTTGTTCCAGCACATCCTGGAGATTATTTATTGTATTGAGATGCGGTTAGCTTGGAGGGTGGATTGGTGCTATTTGCAAGTTTGTCATGTTCTTCTAACGTGTCGTGAATAGCTTTTTTCAGTTACAACCCATTTGAGAAATTTTACGGCTTGTTTCCACTGTTTTCTGTCAATTCTTGTTCTGATTAAGTTGTCAAAGGTTTGATTATGCCCACTTTCCCTCCCATTAGAGTGAGCTCAGGTATTTTACGAGACACTGCTACATATTCCATCAAATTTTCTTGGTGCCTCTGATTATTTTCTTAAGCTGCCCTTTGAGGCTTGATTTGACTAAGCGTTGCAGTAAAGTTTGATTTATGGAAGACTCACCTCTGCAACTTGTTGGGCAGTCACTGTT